GTTACTGCATAAATGTTTGAATGTTTTTGTTTTTTTCCTTTATTTCTTTGGGGCTAGGTACTCGCTGAGGTACAGTATGGACTTCCTACATTCAGCTAGACTCAGTTTTAGCCACATATTATGTTACTGATGACCGACAGGATGGTGAAAAGTAATATTTGACTTCTTTTTTTCACGGTGAAGTGTGAATGCCAGAACAAAATGTTGCGAGATACACTGTAGCTGGGATCATTTGTTTTCTGGTTATGATTTTGAAGTTACGTGCAAATGAAGGTTTTAGAAAACGTGTAATAATAGCTGCTGCAAAACAGTTCATCGCTTTTTGTGGACTCGAATAATCACGTTAACAAGCCTCTTAAGTGACCTTGGTTACTACAGTCACACTGTTACATACATGTACGTCTGTCACACTTTCTTCTGCTTGGCCATTGTACTTCTCAAAATGCTTTCCGGATCTTGCAAAGATCTTGGCCTACATTTTTTGGCCCTTTTGAACTAACCTCAGACAAAAAAAACTCCAAAATCCTTTTGAATTGAAGCCTTTTCTAGATGTTCAGACTTGTGGGAAGCATGTTAAAATAGACAAAGGGGAGAAAAAGAAAACACCCCCCACTGTTTTTCTTCCCCTTGCTACAGCATTTACTCCAATTCCTAAGGAATCTGACTGAATGCCTGTAAATAGAGCAGCATGCAAAGAAAGTCGTTCCTAATAGCCCAGGGCTAGTGGATTTTGCTATTTAGCTAGCTAATTTTATTCTAACTCGCCTGATGGTCAAGTGAAGTTACTGAATCTTGCTCATCAAAACTTTTTTTTTTCCGGCTAGTTAAAATGGCTCTTGGGCTAGTACATGCTAGCTACAGCTTTCCCGAAGAGCAAGCATTAAAACTGACTTTATTTGCACCCTGAAGAGGCTACAAATTATTGCCTTTGTGTCCTGGACCATTCTAACATGCTCAACTGTATTTGTTTCATTAGCTCAGGATCAAGTTCTGGCAGCTCAAGCAGTAGCCGCAGTTCCAGTTCAGGTTCAAGCAGTAGTGGCAGTAGAAGCAGCAGTTCGGGCAGCAGCAGTGGCTCCAGCCGTAGCAGTAGTGGCTCAAGTAGCAGTAGTAGTGGTAAGAAATTTCTAAACTTTTTCTTTTGATGCTTAAATTTTTTTTCACAAAGCTCATTGTTGAGGTAAAAGTTGAAGTTACTGGTAATAGCAACGTGCTTGTTTAGCCTGATTTTAGGGCACTTTCCATTTGTCAGAACTGACTAACCAGACCAGATCAGCTTATTCCTAAATGGTATGCACGACAGTGATGGGCTTAAGGAAAAATTACAAGAAAAGACATACTGGTATTTCATTTTCAATATGATCGGTTCCCACTTTTGGAAAGCACTCTAAGAGTCTGCACCCAGACAGAAATGAACTTCTGGTTAACAGGGTTTAAAAGTGGCAGCCAGGGCAGCCGGCACTTTGACCCACTTTGACTTGGACAACAAAATTAGAATTTAAAGATATTCAAGATTTCATATCAGACAAAAAAGTTCTAAAAAAATTTTTGAAACTTTTGGGCGGATTTGGGGAAAGAGTAGAAAAAGGTTTGGAAAGTTAAAAGTTGACCTGCAGTTTGAAAATGCAACTGGTATTCGTGAAAAAAAAAACTATGTGGTTTATTGGTTTGTTGAAGTAGAAGCAACAAAATTAGAATTTAAAGATAAAAAAAAATCCTGGATTTGCCCCTGAAAAATAAATTGGTCCATGAAAACGCTGTGACATGAGCGCAAGGGAGTTGCTCGCTCCGGGTTATGGGCTCCTGCTTTTTTTTTGGGGGGGGGGATCTCACTCCCTCCACCTAATTTCTCTCTACCGCAACAACCAAGTGTGCAAACAGCAGACTTGACGACCAAGATTGCAGATATCATGCATGGGCCAATCATTTCCAGGTTGCTGTTATTTATTACAGTCCCCATTTTTCCTCAAGGATTTAGCGTGAAAATGAAAAAAATTGCATTACTATCAGTCTATGGTATTTACAAAATTTGCCTTGTTTTTGGGAAAAAATTGCACCACTTCAACACCCTGTCTTGTGAAATGTACTGCCTCCTGGTCTCCTAGTATCATCATAAACTGTGTTTAGCTTTTTTATTTTTCATGATTCATGAAAAAAGCAAGTAATATTTTTCTTGCTTCCCGTGTAAGGCTAGGGTCACGACACATGACATGGGTTAAGTCCGTCAGCGAAGCTTCGCCGAAATCCAGGATTTTAGTATGTGCCATGATTTGCCTATTGTTAAAAAAGCCACTGTCCATTTGCCAATCAGATTGAAGGGAAATTCGAAACGCATTTCCGGTAATTCTTTGAGTCCATTGGGTGCCCAGAACAAGGATATTAGCACTGCTTCACAGACTTTACTAACCAATGTTAGATTACGTCTGCGAGGCAGGCTACCTAAGACTTCCAATCCAATATTTAAAACTTCTTTTTCCCTTTCAAGTTAATGTCCAAGAGTGGACAGCATTTCAGAAATGGTGTGAGCTGCCTTCTGAGGCAACTTGTAAAGCAAAGAAAGTTCCAGAGCCATCATTGAAATAATTATATTAATTCTGTTTTTGTCATAGGTGATGAAAAGAGCAAGACTCCAAAGGCTAAAAAAGAAGTAAAAGAAAAAGAAACTAAAGAAGTAAAAGAAGTGACTAAAGAACCCAAAGAAATCAAAGATAAAGCTCCTCCACCTCCCCCCAAAGCCAAGTCACCTAAAGTTTCCCCTCCCCCAAAGTCGCCCAAAAAATCTCCGGCCCCCAAATCACCCACTCCACCACCTCGCACAAGGCCCACGCGGCGATCAGTGTCCAAGTCTGTATCCAAATCTCCAAGTCCCGTGAAGCGTGGACCTCGCGCGCGTTCATCTTCGTCGTCGGGTTCGTCGCGTTCGCCGAGGAGACGCAAGAGAAGCCCAACCCCTAAACCCACGAAGCTTTACATCGCTCATCTGACGCGCAACGTGACTAAAGATCACGTGTTTGAGATATTTAGTGTTTACGGGCACGTCAAATCGGTAGACTTGCCGATGGACCGTTTTAATTTTCTTCCAAGAGGGTTTGCTTATGTTGAGTACGATGACGCCGAGGAAGCGGAGGCTGCTCTGAAGCACATGGACGGGGGACAGATAGATGGACAAGAAATCACAGCACAAACCATCCTTCCCATGAGGCCTCGCGACATTAGACCTGCTCGTCGACCCAGTCCTCCTCCGCGACGCCGGCCACCGCCACCAGCGTGGAGAAGGTCACCTCCGGCACGATTCCGCGGCTCTTTCCGAGCAGGCGGAAGACGATCACGCTCACCGTCTCCAAGGAGACGATCGCGTTCAAAGTCACGAAGCAAAAGTCGGTCCCCTCCGAGACGTCGAAGATATAGCCGTTCAAGTTCGAGTTCTTCGCGCTAAATATTAGGCAATCAGAGAACTCCTTTCACCATCTGAAGGTACATTTGCGAAACAGAGGAACAAAATCGATTCGCTGGGTTGTAGTTTGGAACACTCTCAAAGGCGTCTTTGTAGACTATTTTTAGAGACGTTAACGTAACCGTTTTATGGATATTTTCATTTACGTGTCACTCATCTGATGCTTCAGCAAACACATTTTGAAAATTTCATTCAGAGGAACACCCGCACAATGACACGAAAAGTTCCACATTTGTTAGAAATAAATGTGCGCTTGCCTCTGTTGATATTTTTACAGTGCAGTATTCTTTAAGTTTTATTTCGCTTGAGTCGGCCAAAATGTAGATGCAGTTTTCCCTCTTTCTTGTTACAGGCCTCCCATAAATACAAGGTTTATTCCTCTATTAAGTGATCGAAAGAGTTCATTGTTTCATTTCCCCATCCAGACAGCATTACATTTTTTCTTTACAGCCTATCCGTTTAGGTTACTAAAAATGCTTTTGGAACATTCCGCGTTGTCCGCTCAAGGCCGTTAAATTTAAATTTAACCCGGTCTTCTTTTTCTAGTGTTCAAAAGCATTTTGTTGGATAATTTTCTCTTTTATTTTAAAAGCTTCCAATAATCAACTTGTAGACAAAAAGAATTAAAACTGAAAAGATTTTTAAGATTTCATGTCTGATTCAAATCTCGCACTACCCCTGGGTTATCTTAACCCAGCTTTGAACAACTCGGCCCAGAGCATAACTGGGCCAATATCTCAGAGATAATTTGCCCCGAACTGCTAATATTTGGCAAGTGGGCGTCTTGGACATTGTTCTTTTAGAATATCTTGACAAATCCCATAATTTCACAAATTTAATTTTTATTACGTCATCACTTAAGAACTCTCTTGAAAACTTGTCAGAGGTCGTAAGCACTGGGGTCGAGATTGCTTTAAGTTCATTTTTGTTTTTTCTAACGTTTAAAATAATGCTTGCAGGGGCGGATCCACACCGGTTTCCACCGTTTACGGAGATCGGTCAGATTTTTCATAATAAACATATTTTTAATAATAATAATAGGACTTTCAAAGATGGTCTGGACAAATGTTTTCTTTTTCCAATTTCCGGGCATTAAAGAGAAACCCGGGAAAGGGAACTTTAGGGACTTAAAATCCCCCAAAATTCCCGGGGGTGTATGCCCCCGGGCTCCCCTAGATGCTTGCTCCCTCGGCCCCTCGTTCAGGAAATCGGTCAGTATTTATCCTAGATCCGCGCCTGGCTTGGGTGGTATATTCGCTCGACATAAGGCTGTAATTTCGTCATTCTCAAGATATTTCTCAATGTTCGTAGTGTGTAATTGGCATCATAAACAAAGTGAGCAAGACAACCGTGATGCAGCCCCTTTACGTAGTGTGACATTTTGTTAGAGAGCGCCTCCCCCTACTCTCCTAGTAAGTTTGTTGCCTTTCTTGAAAGCCCTCGGTGGGTAGCTACTGGAATGCCTTCTGTCTTCCTTCTTCCATTTATACGAAAAATCCAAAATGGTCAGTAAGCAATTTAAAATTAAAAAAGAAAACAAATAAAACCATTTGCATTTGATCAGAGGTCATGACAGCAGTGACACAACTGGTCCACCCCCGGGTGGATGGGTTGATGTCCACTCTTCTCCGTCCGCGAGCGCGCTAAGGGCGCAATCCTTTGGCCTTATTCCGGAATAAGAATACAGTATCTGGAATAAACTCCAAAAAATTACGTTTTGGCTTAAATTGCGAGCTAAAATCCATAAAGCTGGTGGAAATTAGTAATTAAGATGAATGTAGCATTCCCAATGATCGTTGAAAAATTTGGTCACGTGCATACTAACTTTAGGCGGGAAGTGGAACCGGTGTGGAGCCTGGGAAAGAAACGGAACGCCTGGTAAAAATAGTTCATAGACATGGCGCTGAAAACGATCACAGTGTTTTGTGGCTCCAAATTGGGGAATGATCCAAGGTTTGAAGAAGGTGCTAAAGGTACTGACTTGTTTTCTTAGATAAAATTATTTAAGGTGAATGGCAGAAAAATTTTCCCTTAAGGAAGGGATGCCACCTACACTAATGCACCTATCAATGTTAAGCCGGCGTGGGGGAGGCAGCCGGGCATGGGGTGGGAATTTGACATTCTTTCAAAAATTTGCCGTCAATTTCCCTGCCCACGGGCAATCATTCCAGTCAGTTGCAACCAAATTTCCCCACCCCGGGCTGCACACTGCTGTCCATCCCAAGGCTGGACCCAAGAAAGGCACAATAAAAGTATCTCCAAATAGAACTCTGCAATCTTTATTTATAAACGTTGCTGCATCACCAAAGATACATGTTCCTGTTACAGCTTCAGTTATACGTTTTAACCATTCAATCCGCGTTTTAGTACACTGCATAGAATACAGAAACCTTTAGGAGAAAGTCCACATTTTGTAAGTTTGAGTATACCGTTCTTAGTAAAGGGTACAAAGAAAGTCAGTTTTATAAGCTTTATACAGTGATTGCAGTGAATGTCAGCCATACACTGATCAATTGTACTTGCAAAAATCGACTTGGTTTCTCTTTACTTCCGTTTACTTTGATACCACAGTATCTTAAAAGGTTCAATTGATCAATACAATAAAATCCACTCACCTTTGGCTTGTTCTCGTTGGCTTCCATGATTTCCAGATCTTTCCAGACCATACGTCGTGTGCGTGAAGCATGGAAGTGGGGAAACATATGTTCGGTCTCTTCGGTCCAAGTCGGCAGTCAAATCCATCCCCACGTCAGTCCCATGCTGGGCGAAGAAATATTCAAATATCCCCTCCCCTGGGAGATCAAGATTGGTCAAATGCCCTACCCCAGGGGCAACAAAGACAATCAAATCCCCACCCCATGCCATCTTTCACTTACCAAATTCGTTGGAAATTAAACATACTTTGCTGGCTGGCTTTACTCCAACCAAGCCACACTATGAGTAAGCAGAAGGTTGGAGCCAGGGACGAAATTAGAGACTATCCATAATAATTATTTCTGGGGGAAGAAATTTGCTGTAAACACAGATAATCTTTGAGAAGAATAAGAGAAAGTGCATTGACAAAACATTTTCTTTATCAATACTCGCTTCTTTGTGTTGTAGCTCTTGGTGAGTGTATGGTAAAAAATAAGATAAATCTGATATATGGTGGAGGAACAGTAGGTCTTATGGGAGCTATAGCTAAAACTGTTGCTGATGGAGGCTGTGAGGTGACTGGATTTCTTCCCGAGTTCTTTGTTGTTCAAGGTATGCAAATCACAATGAGGTCCGGGACCAAACTTCTAGATTAAGTCAGAAAAGGTGAACTAAAACACAAAAGATAAAATGATCATTAAATCACATAATATAGCCTACAAAAATGTACATCAAATCTCTATCAGAAAGTAGCTATCAGCAAGTGGCAGGAAGCTGAGTTCACAGGGTACTTTAAGGCTACTCAAATAAAAAAATGTTTCAACCCACTATATGAAACTTGTTACCAGCAGACTTTTCTGTGATTGGTCATTTCATCATTCTCTCGTTATATGTCTCTTGAACAGGCTTACAGTTGTCCTAATCTTTCTCTTTGCTTCATAATTTGTCCACAAATTATCAACAATATTTCGCTAGGATATTTGAAACACAGGATGACAAATATTTTTCATTCTACTGTAAATAAAACACAACCCTACTCATTTATGCTGTATCTAGCTTGAGGGTCCAACTTTCTCTCACTGGTGGTTTAGTGGTTCTATGCCCATTTTGTAGGTTAGTTTGCAGAAGCACCCTCATTTTTTAGGCTGTTTGCTGTTAAGAAAACATAGTAACCTGCTATTTTAAATCCAGATCGTGGAAATTTGGATAGTGTTGGCAAGACAGTGCTAGTTCAGGACATGCACACTAGGAAGAGAAACATGTTAGAAAAGGTAAGTTCCCTAAGTTTTGTTACAATCTAAACAAAATACAGAGCAAGTTGAGAAACAGCAATCATTCTTTGTGGGTGTGACCTGTACCCCTCTTTTCTGTAGGGGTGTGGTTTCAGGAGATATTAAAGATCAATACTTGATAATTATTCTAGTCATTCTTGCCCTTGCAGGTATTATACTTTTACATTGTTCATTGTCTCCACAATGTATGTAATGCCACTTTTTCTGATAATCATAGGGTTAGGTTGTTGTTTGTACAGAAAGTGGGATTTTATTCAATCTTATGAATGGATTTCAGGCTGATGCTATGATAGCTTTACCAGGAGGGTATGGTACTTTTGAGGAACTCCTAGAAATGATTACATGGTAAGGACAACAACAGTTTTTGTTGCTTCTTATCTTTTCTCCTTGTGGCTTTTTTTGCAGATCTGCTTGAGTCAAATGTCTGACTTCTTTCCTTTGCTTTTCAGGGTGCAGCTTGGACTTCATGATAAACCAATAGGAGTATTAAATATTGCCAATTATTGGGGAAACTTGATAGACTGGGTTTGTAGAGCGTTCTTGAGAGTGTGTGTGATTTGATTGTAAAATAATGTCTTAGCGCTAAATGAGCCTGGGACAGCCTTTGGGTTGTCTCTTACAGGTTCAAGTGTAACATTTTGTACCTGAGTCTGGTGGGTGTTAGGAGGGGGGGGGGTACTCCCATATATTCTCCTCTGGTATAGCCAATTTTTTCCCCTCCTTCATTATTCTTGACCATGCTTGGGTGCAAAACTGTGCTCTCCTTGTTGTTTTATCACTGAGCCAGCCACAGGAACAGGATCTGGAAATATTCCTGCACCATTTGTTATATTTTTCAATAATTAAATTCAGTGACATTAAGTGTACATGGATATTTTCAGCTGTCACCAGTCAATTCACTCCTTCCAAAAGATGCAATATTGGCAGCCCATTATACCAGATGCATGAGACTACATAATTTAGAAAAACATAATATCTGAGTCTGGGTGATCTTGCACTCCAATGACTGGGCTCCTGCTGGGATGCATAAGAATTCATGGTGAGCCGAGCCATACAGTCAATCCATGTCAACCTTCATACATTCCCTGCTTTTTTACTATTGGACACCTCTTTTATGCAGACACTTAGCTCTGACTCTGTGGTGTCCATATTAAGAAGGTTTGACGGTAAAACAGACACCTCTGTAATGCGGACACCTGGCTCTGTCCCTTTGGTGTCTGAGGTTTGACCAATTTCGTTATAGGTTCATTGGCCAAATATGGAACATATGTGAAAAGCATTAATCAAGCAAATAATCCACCCTGATCAGTCTCCAAAAAATGTTTACATGCCCTTGTATTTCATTTCAGATTCAGAATGCTGTTAAAGAAGGGTTTGTGTACGGTGAAAACCAAGATATTCTCATTGTAGCTGATGACTGTGAGACCTTATTAAGAAAGCTGCAGGAACGTGCTGCCAACAAAGAACAGTCAACTCACAAAATATTTCCAAACATGTAACATTTGCTCTCAATAAATTTTTTTACTATTAGTATCTCTTGTTACCTTTAAATCAGTGTAGAAAATCATCATTTGTTTGTTCATGGTACCAATGGTAGTAAGATGTATGTTTTACTAACTGTAACTCACTAATCTCGGCAAGTAGAATATATGAAATTAAAAATATTAAAACTAATATTACTCTTTTGTTTTCATGTATAATTATTTTGATGGGTTATCATTCCACCCAGAACAATTTTATTTAACTGTCCCTGCCATAATGGGATGGAATGAAATCAGGCTTTTTGTCAGCCCATCTTTAAGTGGTATGTGTAACCATGGTACAGTCAAACCTCCACCAACGGCCATTTTTTTGGTGGACAGTCCATACATTCACTCTTGTTTCAACCTCTCCACAATGGCTGGTTTCTTTCTGTCCCCAAGGGGGCCATTGTACAGAGGTTCAACTGTACTTTTAAAATAAGTAGCGCTACAAAGCAGTCAGTTCTGCATTCAAAAGATCTGAGGTTACTTTGGTAAAGAGTTTGGTTCACAGAGTGTAATGATGTTTGAAAACCATGACCTTCACAGCGGAACATATCTATATAGCCCATGTAAGACAGTACCCCTCCCTCCACCCCAGACCCCACCACACCCTCGTAACCACACTAAAACTAGGGGCATTTCGTGTTAGCCTGTTCCAGGCTCCGAGATAGTGGTGAAAAGTCGTTCAGTAAAAAGAAATGGAAAAAACGCGCATTTTTCCCGCCGCCACCGCCCCCTTTCCCAAGTCGCGCGCGTCTTATTTTCGCTTTGCTCGTTTAATACGTCCACACTATACTATCTGAGAGCCTGGCACAGGCTAATTTCGTGTACGTCTACATAACGTTTGTCATATTAGGAAAGCAGTATGGCGGCTCGTCGTACGCGGGAGGCGACCAAAAGGAAAAACAACGACAAAATAGAGTTAGAGACCTCAGTTGAAATCAAGGAAGAATGCACAGAGAGCATATATTTCAAGATGGGCTGTAACAATACTTTACATACCCATTTGTCGAAGAAAACAAAACTAGGGCTAAAGCAAGTGGGCAAAGCTAATGGATCTTCGACCAGACTTGACAGGTCGTTTTACGACCAACCTGCCGAAGACTTGGCTAAAAACCTCTTGGGCAAGCTACTTTATCGTGTTCTTGACAACGGAGAAGTGTCGTTTGGACGGATAGTTGAGACGGAAGCCTATTTAGGTGAGGTTGACAAAGCGTGCCATTCTTACGGTGGAAGACGAATAGGTCGCTGTGAACCTTTGTATATGGCACCCGGTACGGCTTACGTGTACGTTATTTACGGAATGTATCACTGCCTCAATGTCTCTAGTCAGGAACCCGGTGCCTGTGTGTTAATAAGAGCTTTGGAGCCCCTCCAGGGTAAGTGTATATGACGATCTACAGGGGGGTGAAGTGCAGAGTTCAGAATGGGCCAATCCAATTCTAACGCGTTATACACGATTGAAGGCTTTTTCTTGTCCTGTCCCTCCCTCCCTGAGGGTATCGCGCGGTGGTCTAGGCAATAAAGACCCAGAGAACCCCAAAGAGAGTTGCTGTGTATTTAACAAGAGAAAGCTTGCAATCGTTTTTAACACGTCAGCCGGCTAGAATCGCATAGTGACACATACCTGGCTGCAGCTTGCATATATACATGGATGAGGCGCTGAACTTCCGTCACGTGTTTTTAATCCTGATAAACAGGTTTTGACTCACAATAATTGTGACCCGTACTCCCCCATTAAGGCTAAGGAAATCCTCATGGAGGGAGGGCATCTTCAAAGAACATTCCTAAGGGACTAGCTACCTTATTATGTGCATTTTTCAAAAGGACGGATTATGGCAGTGCTGTTGTCTGTAATAGGGGATGAGTGAATACAAATACACACAGGAAAAAATAACAGATTCCCATTTTTGGATATTTTAGGGTATTTAATAAAGAATGCCCACAAAAATCCCAAATTTGGAAGAGTGAGACAAGTCCCAATCAGGGAACTTGGTTGGGAATTTCCTGGTTGGGACTTGTCTCACTTTGCCAAATTTGGGATTTTTATGGATATTGTTTAAATACCCTAAAATATCCAATAATGGGAATCTGTTATTTTTTCCTGTGACAAATGGAATGGTTCAAAATACACTAATATAACAGTAACAGTCAAAAGTGAGTTACCAGCTTTACACCTTGTTTCTTGTGCTATGAGCTCAGAGATGTAAAATCTGGAGACTCTCCCTTCTGCCCCTCCCCCACCTTCCATAAACCTAAGTTGACCGAAATCCCAAATTATAGTAAGAGTGTGACACAGGACGTTATACCGTCTTACTTGAGGTGCTGACCTCCAAGATTCACTATTATGATGAAAGTCTTGACAGTGATGAATACAAGAACAGGGACATTCTTTTTTGAGCTTACTGGCTCATAGCCAGTGAGGCTTTATGCTATTGTCAGTGAAAGAATGAATAAATGATGTAAGGTCATGTCTATTGTTCTCTTACGTGCAGTAACGTATGATCTTCAGAGCTGAAGGGACTGGGTAGGATACCAGCCATCTCCCATTTTTTTTAAGTTCCGTTTTATGAAGCATTGTTATGACAAGGAGGAATTTGATATTGATTGTTCTTAGGGCTTCTTAAAAAGTTGCAAATAATATTATGCTCCGTTATTTTAAAAACGTAAGATGTTTGCATTTGTGACGAATGATCTTGCAAATATATTACAGGAAAAGTTTTCTGTTTTGACTTACGATAATTCTCCAATAATTGGAGAATTATTGTAAGTTGGCTAAACCAATTATTGGTTAATTTCTTTGCTATTTATATCCATTCATAATTGGTTATGTGTTGAGTGAGTGTTACTAGTAATGAATACTTTTTCATCCTTGGTAGTATTAAACATTGAAAGTCACAATGCGGGAAAATGCAAATGTCAGGCAAACATGAATCTGTCACTTTTACTATGTAATCATTCAATTAAAAGGTCACAAATCTGCATAATTTCGAAACAACTAGCATTTTTCAAATTTCATGTTACATTAATTCGTTGCAACATTTGTGTGCTTAATCTTGGCCAGAAATTACAATAGTCCCAGAACCATATCTGTGAAAGTTTTAACTTTGCCTGTGGCCGCCAAACCAACCTCATGTGATGGCACGTAACAGTGTCAAAAACTGCATGTGCCAACACAACGTGACTGCCTTGAACAACGATTTGTTTTGCAAGCACAGATTAATTGTACAGATTAATCATTGCCAGTAAGCTCCTGTCCTCTCCAGGGACTATTTTTTTGTCTTTTGGGACAAAATTTGCTAAATTTCAAACTAAAGCAGGGAAAAGCTCAAAACTCTATTTTATGTAGGAGAGTTGGCATATAAATGAGCTTTACTTACGACCACTTCGACAAAACCCCGCTTGAACTCCAAACATCCAAACTCTACTATTAACCTGAAGCAGTCATGTTGCCAGGCTACAGTCCTATCAGAGGCAACTCACTCTTTCAAAGAACCTTTCAAAGGAGTTTTCTTATTGTCCTTAATACTCATCTCGGTACAGTGTTTTTTTTTTATTTCTGCCATGATGGGAAATAAGCAGTGAGTTAATTTCAATTGATATCGTCTTGGTCTTACTTCTGGTGTCAAGCCAGAGCTTCCATAAACCTTGACCTATTGTAAAATTCCGAAAATAAGCCCCTCCATGTATAAGCCCCCCAATCCGGTAATGCAAAAAACCCTCCGTTAAGTCACTTCTCCAAATATAAGCCCCCCAGGAGCTTGTACTTGGACAATTGCCCTCAAATACAAAGTAAAACAAAGCAAAAACAGCAAATTTACTTCCAAAAATAAGGCTAGCACAATCGATTTTGAAACGCAAATTTCCCTCCGTAGATAAGCCCCTCCAAAAATAAGCCCCTCAAAACAGGCCTTTGACAAAATAAGCCCCAGGGCTTACTTTAGGAATTTTACGGTATCTAATTGAGGGCAAATCTACATTATGTTGCAGGGTTTGACTCTATGAAATCCTTCAGAGGAGTGCGGCGAAGAGATGCCGGCAGCAAGTTGAAAGACCATGAGTTGTGTAATGGACCTTCGAAACTCTGTCAAGCTCTTGATATTGAAAAAGCTAATCTCAACAAAGAGGACATGACAACTTCTAATAGATTTTGGATAGAAGATGACAAGGAATCTTGTAGTAGAGACATGACTATAGTGACCTCAGCAAGAATAGGCATAGATTCCTATGGACCTGAGTGGGCACTTAAACCATTGAGGTTTTATAGCTTGGGAAACAAGTGTGTGAGTGTTAGAGACAAAAAGTCAGAAGCTGAGCTTTCGCATTCGGCCTAGTCAGTATTTGCATGGTTGTGTTGTTCAAGGACCTCATGAAACAAGAAATTCCAGAGCCTTGACTGCCTGGAAAACTATGGAAATACTATAAGGAAATGGTCGAGGAGTTGTACTTCACAGGCAAGTATTTTTACCAGTATTTGATCGTGCAAATTATAAGTTATACGTATTTCGTCAACCCAAGCTTCAGGTTGTTGCCTTTGTTCACAGAAATGAATGAGGCGTCTATTGTATACCCCAGGTAATGCACCATTCAATTGTTTTGAACTGGTTATTATTTTAAATTAATTAGAGAGCAGGTCATTGAGGAGGAACAGGAGGTCATTATTAGAAATAATAACGTGCTCTTTCACTTCAGTGGCCACAATAATGACTTGCTGGTTCTAAAACTATGGAAAGGTGCATTAAATTGGATAATGCCTGAGCTCCTCGGCCTCCTTAAAAATAATAACCTTGAATTGCGCCCTTTGGTCATTATTTATATAAAGGCCTTGAAGCTCAGGCGTTATCCTATATATAACTATTTTCCTGTGACTGACCAGCACATAATACAGGGCGTACCCAATCGATGAAATCGATGATCGATGGGAATCGATGGCATTCGATGACAATCGATGCCAATTAATCGATTGATATTGATAATCGATGAACAATCGATCGTCCAGGTGTGTGTGATTATCGATTGTCATCGATTGGCATCGATTGTCATCGATTGCCGATATCAATCGATTAATTGGCATCGATTGTCATCGATTATCAATATCAATCGATTAATTGGCATCGATTTTTTACCAATTTTCATCTATTGGTTATTATTGTTGATAGGTTTTATTTTCAGTCAAGATTTCCAAAGGCACAGTCTCTTGATGCATTTTAATGACGAAAACAATGACATCGTGGAGGACATTGGCAGAAGATCGAGTTTTTTTTACAACTTGACAGATAATCAGCTTAACTCTGCTTAACTGAATAAAGTTGTCTTTTCGCATTTCCCGTCCTTTCCTCTGGTTTGTGCTCGATGAAAGTTACAACAATCTGATTTTATTAAAAAAACCAATAAACTTGAACTTTGAACCCCAAACAACTAGCACATAACGTGAAAACACTTACAGTTTACTTACAGAGGCGATTTTTGTGTTGTCGTGGTTTCGGTTGCGATTTTTGGTCATTGTTGTCTCGGTCGCGCTGCAACTCAAATTCTACCTGTTATCACAAGGCGTTGTGACCTTACGACGAAAACGAAATCATCTTTTTTTGTAAGACGTGTTTACGCATTTACCACGTTTCGTAGACATTCTAGCTAGTGATAAAAATCAACTCGTTGCAGCACGATCGCGAGAAAATACGCAGTGGAAATCGCGACATAAATTGGACCAAATGTCGTACGAAATAACTTCGTTTTGATGTGATACATTGAAGTAATCTTTTTGATCAGAGAAAATATTAAACCCCAATCGATGACAATCGATGATTCATGAACACTTTTGTGTGATTATCGATTGGTCATCGATTGGCCGATACCAATCGATGCCAATTAACTGACATGCATCGATTGGCATCGATTGATCGATTGCTTTTCCGATCATCGATTTTCATCGATTGGGTACGCCCTGATAATATAAATGTTGCAGTTAATTTTTTGTTTCAGTTAATTTTTATTTTTCCATTGTTTTTGGGTATGGTAATGTATGCTAATGAATTTTAAACAAAGGGAAAACAAAAATTAACTGAAATAAAGAATTAACTGCAACATAAACCTTCAGGATAAAATGGTTGTGATACAATCTTATTGCCGAATGGACAGTTAAGCCCATATTATTGTGGGATATTCTTGTGAGCTACTGTGTATTTTGGTGCTCCCATAAGGCGAATCAAAATACAAGAGAAGAGTATTGCTAAATTTGGTTGTGTCCTTCAACCTCATAAGAATTATTAGGTTTTTTAATAAAATAGATTTAAAACTGAAGTTTTGTGTGACAACAATAAAGAAAGTGTATTTATTTGTAAATTTTACTTGATTTTACTTAAGTATATAATCACACAATCTGTAATAATGAAACTTCATTTTAATCCGAAATGTATGAATACTTTAAACTGTATTTTATAGACACTTAAGTCTCACATTTCCTGGTAAAATTCCTGTGTTTCAAATAATTCTTGAAAGTCAAGTATAAAACTCTTTAAAATTGTAGAAAGGGCACACTATTAAAATGTTAATAATATTGTACAAAATTGACAATAATAATTGAAATTAAGAATTTGATTATTAGAAATTTAAGGCTGTTCACAAGGGCAACTGGGCTATGATTTCTTTTGTACTCCTGCAATAGTAAAAAAATGAACAATTTTCCCGAATCTCATTAGTAAAAGGGTTAATGTCAGTAAAAAAAGGTAAATTAGCCATTTTCTCACAGTCCATTTTCTCACAGTCACTTTCTTTCACTGTTACTGCCTTGTTTCCTAGACCCATCACCCCCCTCCCAAAAAAAATCATAATCTATATCTAGAAAAATATTGTACAATTGCACACATCCACATCAACATTGGAAGAGTACCCACGATTCCTTTACTAGAAGTAGTATATATTAATTATATGAAATTTAACTGCTAATAATATTATCATCAAGAAATAATAAAGGAATTTGGCAGTATAGTACACATTAATATATTAATGTTAAATCTATGGTTAATATTTTTTTTATGATGGCAAGGCTTAGAGTACAGATGGTGTCAGAAGTATGACAGCTGAAACTTTTAATGAATAAGAGTGTTTTGATTGTTTTCAGCAGCCATTATTTAAAATAAGGCTGATTCATATAATTAATTTGATATTTTGTGTAAACATGGACTCTTTTTTGGGATTTTAATAAAATCTTCGACATACCGTTAAAATATACTTTTCTGTAGATAAAGAATAATGCTAAAAAGCTTACAAATGGCCTTTATAAATCATTCACAGTTACTTTCATAGTGTAGGAGAACAAATAAAATTCTATTCAGCTACCCCGGGGGGGTACTCCCTAATATGGGTTATATAGGTATGTGCGGCCCCAAAGGGTAGGGTTTTTCAGCCATTTTGGTCATAAATTGGGTATCGATTTTGCCTATTTTGGTCTCTTTTTTAGAAGAAGCTACTTCCTTATCATGTCCCCCTCCTTCCATCCGCGCTTTGCCTTCCTCTCCACCGGCTGCTTTGTAGGCTAGAAAATACAAGCAACAAAAGCCCTTCACAAAATAGGGTATCAAATTTTTGGTTAGGTCATAAATAGGATAGGGAAAATCGCAAGATTTTGGTCATAAATAGGGTAAGGGTTTTGGGAAGCAGGCGCACACCCCTACCCAATTTTTCTGCAAGTACCCCCCGGAGCTACCCCTTGGCAACCTTACGCGAAAGGAGGACTCATGATTATGAATGAACACTCAGGGTCAGATATTTAAATGGACTTTGTCCAGTGCTTAACAAAAGGAATTTCCAAGTAATGTTCATATTGGCTAATCCTAGAGACTGTCATTTGTGAGATCTGGCCCCGGTTATTTAAACGCACTATCACTATCAACTGGATAAACCACTATCCAGTGGATAAGTATTAGGAAAACCAATTGCATTATCGACTGGATAGAGATTTATCAAGTGGAAAGTCCTATCCACCTTTTAAACTACTGGGGCCTGGAAGTCCAGTAATTATTTTTGTTTTAAAACATGGTCTGAATAGACTTTGTTTAAATAAATGGCTCCAAGTCTTAATCTCTTAATGACTCAGATGAACAAGGTCCTGCACAAGGTTGCAAGCCTGAACTTAAGGCTAGATTGCAGAATACCCAGCCCACTAAATATCTAAATTAAAAAACTGCTCCTGGGGTCCCTCACTTATGCCATTTGCATAATAAATAGACATAAAACGCGGGAGTGCGGGACTGTGGGAGCACTAGTATACCTCGTTCTATAAGCTCACAAGTTACTTGACATCAACTGCAGGAGTGCGTGACTGCGGGAGCACTAGTTTTTTGTTGACTACTGCACTGTGGGACTACGCACCCAGCATAATAGAACACGACTGCGGAAGCAGTTTTTTGAGTACGATATTTAGTGGGCTGGGTATTCTGCAATCACTCCAAACTTATCATAAGTTGTTAAGCCTGTTTCTCATTTGGTGGGAAAATTGATCACCTATTTTAACTAAAATATAAGCATGAAAATAATGTTTTAGTCTAAAAAATAATGAAACTAAAAGGTATTTACAAGAAGCAAGAAGGCAACACATCTGACAAGCCAAACATTGCAAGGAGAACCATCTCCAACTACCGGTCAATCTAACAGCACTTTTTTTACATCAAACTATCATATCCACTGTCACTAATCAAAGGTGATAAGATCTCCTGTTGGTGGTTCGTCCTTAGAATCCTTTTTGCTTTTCTTAGACAGGGTTCTTTGTCCTTCTTTTGAACTGTGAATAACAAGCTTCATCTTGTCCTAAAAAGGAAAATAAAACGAAAAAACTTGGATTGGCTTCAGAGTTTCCACTTACTGCTGTTCACAGAATTGACATGTTTGTGCTATGACTGCAAGTAAATTACTTAAATTTATTTCTGGTCGGTAGATACATGTAATGATGGCCAAGTGTTTCAACAAAGTAATAACTGTGGGTCTGTTTTCTTTCTTTTAGTTAGAGGTATAGTGCAACTTGTACATGAGCATTGAATATTTACTAAATTTTTTAATTCCAATCAAATAAAATTACTATAGCTGCACTGCCCTTGCATCAGGAAAAGTATGGTCAAGGCCAGGTGATTGCAGTAACTGCGGACACAATAGCATGGCTTTCCAGACTTGAAAATAGCAATAACAGGATTTCTTGGCCTTCATGGCCCAACAAAATTAATAATAGATAGCCAGGAAAGCCCAAAATTCCAGACCATGTTTCACAGCTAGAACCCTTAATCACATTAAATATCATTTATCAACCTTTATAAGAAATGCCCATGCTGTTATGTAAGAAATTTAAGTGTCTTTGTAGTGAAGTCCGAACAAATTTAGTGCTCTGTGTTTTCAAGCCATCAGCTCAATGCTCTCACAAAAATTACTATTTTATGTGTTATTTCAGTGTGTGGTAAATACACAACAAACCATCAAATTAGTGAATAACGGTGTGGAAACAATATTTACCTGATACTTTCCCCACATTGTAAAAATGTCCACCAGCTTTTCGTCAGGGTCCAGGCATCTGCGTACTGAATATTAAAGATAAGAATATTAGCAGTGTGTGACAAACGCAGACTGCAGACTTGTAGACTGGCAGGCAAACAAGGTAAACATTGTTGTGAAATGCTTTAACAGATTTCGTATCCCCAAAACAAGCCTTTTAGAAGACTTAGGGTCGGTTATTTAAACAAACTCTAACTTAGACCACGGTTTAAGAAATCTTTGAACCTCCAGATCTCTCCCTTAGTGGGTCAATTTAAGAAGATAAATGCTTTTCTTGTCTACTCTATACACTTTAATGAAACTGTCAACGATAAATGGTGTTTAAATAAAAGCATTGGGCAAATTTAAAATGACTTAGAATGCGGTTTTGTTAAACAATGGCTAAATTCCGTTTAAAAATAACTGGCCCATAAAGTTTAGGGATAGGGAATCTGTTAAATCATCTCACAACAATGTTTAGCTCATTTACCTGCCAGTCTGCAGTCTGCGTATATCACACACAGGAATATTAATACTGTAGGTAACGGGTAGAATGAATAATCAAGTTGGATGTCAACGAAAACAAAAACCACACAATACTGGCTGCAACACAGTAATAACCCACAACTAAGAACCTCCATTTTCCCAAGTTAGCCTAAACAGGTTCTTACATAAATGGTAATTAGCATAAATTTAGGCTATTTAGGTTCTTAAATAGGTTCTAATTTTCTGAAGAAAAAATACATTGTAGCTAAGAGTATTTAGTGGTATTCAGCTCATTCCTTAAGTAAAACCAGTATACCATTACAACTGCAGTTGGAGTAATAAGGCACCTATGTCTCCAAAGAGGATCCTGACTTTTGAATAAGAACCTGTTTCAAATTTTAGGCTAAACAGGTTCTTGTATAGAAGGGGCTTAGCTGGCAAATTTTAGCCTTAGGTTCTTAAAAACCAAGTTCTTAGTCGCAGGTTTTTACAGCATTTAAAAGGAGCTATTTTGGGAGGGGTGAAGTGTGCTTTGCATGGCAATGAAGGCAGATTTAAGATATCTGTAATCCCTTTCGCCCTCTCCACAACCTTATATTTTTGAGCCTTATAGATTTAAGATATCTGTAATCCTTTTCACCCTCTCCACAACCTTGGGTCAGTTTGGTCAGCTGGATAAAAAAAACTGTCAAGAAGGGGATCAAAGACTGATGAAGAAGGGTTTGGGCACAAGATAGACTTTGGTTCTCAGTGAAAGTCCTTTGCTGTTAAAGGAAGACCAGGGTTTTGCCCATCTTCATAAAGCACTTTTCATGATTCACTCACATTTTCCATGCTCTTTACTAGTCTCTTGTAGATTCTAGGTACCAGAGGATGGAATTCATTTTTTTGACACTGGTAATATTGAAAGGGTGAGTGGAAAAAGGCTTCATGACACATTCTTCCATGTCACAAGACTATCATAAAATGAAAAATTATTCCCATCAACAGTGATGGAAAAAAAAGTAAATGTAACTCCCAATCTGTTGATGTCAACTACTGCCTTGTTCACGGGATCACCTTGGCGTAAGTCACAAGGTGACATTGACCCTGGGAGCCTAGGGGCTAAGGTGAAAACGAGGCTGCATGTCATCATGGGTGCTCCCTTTCTGCGGCCTCAAGGAGCACATCTTCCACATCATCATTTTGAACAGCCAAGACAGATGGCGCTCTTACCTGAACCGTCTAATGATTCTTCCCACAATTCTAACACTGCTACATCAATATTTCCCCCAGCAAAACTCTTGTGCCTTGTGTACTGGCTGTACAATAAAAACATAAGAAGGCAATTCACAATAAAGCAAAGCGTAAGTGAATGTATGAACTGTCAGCCAGGATGAAAAAAGTAACCCGGGCGGAGAGGTGAGCACTGATAGGGTTTGACTGTACTTCTGTTCATCAAATAATCATAGTCCTTATTACAATGAAGCAATGAAACATTTTTAATAATATTCACTTAAATTTTTGGCAGCTTTCACAGTTCATTACTAGGACCAACAGCATATAATGTCAAGTACTTGTTCAATACATGAAATTTACTAGTCCAGTCTTTATAGTAAATATTGCAAACATTTAGTCCTTATACCAGCTTGAAAGTAATTTGCCTGTGGTCAAGTAACAGTCACAGCACTGTTACATACTAGAGTTTTCTAAAAATTTAAGAGCCATGGCAATAGAATTCTGCAATAACGTAAACAAAGAAAACAAAATATTGTGGAATAATTCATCTTGGTTAAAATGACACTGAGCCACACTTACTGCAAAACACCTGAAACCAAACAGTCAGTATGTACTTTACAAGTCTGCAAACAGAAAAAATATTGAGAAGACTTAAATATTTATGAAAACAATAATTCGTATAACAGTACCACTTGCACTATACATAACACAAGATAAGCTAAAGGAAAGTAAAACATTAAGTAAAAACTTTGTTTACCCTCCTGCAAAGATGAGTCAGGTATACAAAGAATTGCTGACATAAACTTGAGTGAAAATCAAATTAATAAAACATAAAAGCAACTTGGAGCAAGACAGTGACTCATAAAAACAAAGACATTTTTCACCTTGAATGTTTTGTCTGGTTTAAAAACCTTTAATGTCATTGGATCCTCATATATTGGAATGGCAGCACTGCTGCTGGTCTGTCAAAAAGAAAAATAATCACTTTTTAATATTTGTTCATCAATATATACAGACAGCATTCTGCAGGTAATAAATAATTTATTAAAGCACTTATTTCTAGAGTACTTTGACTTCTTTCCATCCCTGGAGCTACCCAGAAGCAACAGATAAAGCAGATGGGAAGAAGAGGTACTGGGTACAAGGTTGATAAAGCAGCATTTCATGGATTAGTTTATTCTATCAATGTTTCATTTCTATTATGATACAGTGAAAACCCTATAAGCGGACACCTTCAGGACCTTCCCAAGTGTCTGCTTAATAGAGGGTGTCCGCTTAATAGAGGTTTGTAAAAACTCCATAACGTTGTTAACGATTAACATTCAACAGTTACTCTGTACTGTGATAAAGCTCCATGTTGTTAAGGAAGGTAAGGAAGATGTGCTGTACTTTGTGCAAGACTTTAGGTGAACTTTGATTGCAGATGACAATCATACGGCCAGATATTGGTCTAATCTACAGTTTATTGACAGCTAAATGTACCGATTTATCCTTATTAATCGACTACAGTACGTATTTTAAGGACGTAATCCAAAACTACTATTGTCAGTTCAGTCTGGTGTCCGCTTAACAGAGGTTTTTAATAATAGAAATTAGCCAAATACAATAATATTTATTTTAGTGTCCGTGTCCACATTAATTTCGGGACCCGGCTGAAAGTCTGCTTCATAGAGGGTGTCCGCTTAATAGAGGTTTCACCGTGTTACCATTATTGTTTCAATCTTTTCCTTAAAAGACTGATTGTTCTAGGGATGGATAAGTTGTCCATAAAGGCTTGAAGATGCAAAATTCAAGTGAAAATCATCCTCATGACAACAATAAGCATTTAACTCAGCTAATCCATCAATAATTTCACCTACCCATTTCATCATAGTTCTTTTGATAACATTCAGCGCAACAGCCACAGGAATAGGATGAAACTAAAAACAACAAAAGACAAAGATTTAAACTACAGTAAACTGTGTTAAAAAGGAAAATAATGATGGATTATAATTATTATTACTTATTATTATCATTGTTAAAAGTTATTATTAATATCGTTAGTAAAGTTATTAGTTAAAGTTAGATCTCACGATAACAACAACTTTCCAGTTGTTATTATGTATAACTATATACAGTTAACACCATGCACTCACCTCATTTGTGGAAGTGATACTTGTGACATCAGGCCCAGTTACACATTGAGCTGTAGGAAAAGATATCAACAATATCACCTGACAGTGAGTCATCCCAGTACAGATGCTGGGTCATTGATGATAGCCATAACTTGCAGAAAACATCATTTCAAAAAAAATTAATATTTCATTGGTTGAGGTCACACTAGAGAAAGTTTACTATAGTAAAGTCAAGTTTACCATAGTAAACGGCGCCGTAAGTGTGACCGGCATTTTTCAGTTTACTATTGTAAACTCTACCCTGGTTAATTTCCATGACTACTGCAGAAAGAACAAAGATGACCCACCACCGATAACCATCTGGTTACCAAAAAAAATAGGTGGGTATATCTCTAGTCTATCTAAACTTTGTTTGTTTTGTTGACAGTTTTTCATGATTTTTGAGGAAAGTAGTTTCAAAAGGGGTCACATAACAGAATAGCTTTAGCACATTGGTGATTGCTTTTTCCACAGTGCTTCAAGGTTTCTGTTTCTGTGCATTTCTTCAAACCATTCTTGGGGTCGAGGGTAAACCCACGCTTGCCTTCGCAATGCTGCTCTTTCTCTAGGAGTATGTCTTCGATGGGCAATCAATGAACCTGTCACTAAAACATCTTCACTAACTTCGTATTCGAAACCAAGGTAGGTAATAAGGGAGCGCATTCTTCTTGCTCGTCTGAGCAGCAGAATTAAAAGCAAAATGCTCACAACAGAAAACAATACTCTCTCACATTGAACCATCTTTGTACACTTGTGAGGGTCACGCTCAGGAAGTTACAGTTCAGTAATTTCAATTTAGTCAGCTCTCATAGCATGTCATCATTTTACTTTTCACTCTCATGTCACCGATCACGCGAGAAAAAACGCCTGGAAAGTTTCACATGACCTGTCAGGTTTACTACAGTAAAGAAGACGTTACGAGACTTACCATAGTAAAGCCCTTTTTACCATAGTAAAGTCTCTAGTGTGACCTTGTTGTTTAGTTGCTGAATTCATTTTCTTACCTGGAAACCAACCAAATCTGCCTTTGTGGAGTCCAGGCCACCTGTAGAAAGATTACACAGATATGTCTGTTTTAGACAATGAGTAGTCCCCATTTTTCCTCAGGGATAGTAGAGCGAGCGAAACGCGAGCACGCATGAAAATCACCCCACGCGAGAAAAGGTGACACGTGTCACCTTTTCTCGTGTCGTGTGATTCTCACACGCGCTCGCATTTCACTCGCTCTTCTATCCCTGAGGAAAAATGTCTGTTTTAAATGGAATACTTTAAGGTCAAAAACAGGGCATAAACTTAAACTATTTATGTGAAAGACAAGAAACTAATCATTATTTTATTGATCAGTGTAATAATTAACCATCCAGAAATAGCACATTGACATGCTTTTATACAAACAATCAAGCAAACCAAAATAAAAGGCAAGTAACCTACCATGCCAACTCAATTTCACAAACATTCACAGCATATAACCCCTACAAAATAATCATATTATTTTTAATTATTAACACACCTTTGAATCATTTATTAAGCGCCCTAGTAAAAGAATCTGGAGGCTGAATGAGTGCTTAGGGTGTTTTTTAAACTTTCAGCATTTTGGGGGGTGTATTTTATTAGTTGTGTTCCAAAGTAATAATGTCCAACAAGATTGTTTCTGCCCGATAAAGACAGGCATAACAATATAAGTAGAGTAAGTAGAGCCAAAACAGAAAGGGCAGTGCATTTTATAATTTTATATGTCTTTGAACAATCATATCTCAGTAACAGTTGACAACATTACCAGGCAAATATGCCTTAAATCCAAGCTAGCTGTCACTGATTTTTACAGTGTACAACCAAGGCAGCAACACTTTTAAAAGTACAATTTTACTTACTGGCAGCCACAAACCCCCAGATTTGATCCCAATGATAAGAACTTCTTCACCTTGTCTCAGGTTCAATTCTAAATTCAAAAGGTGATAGTCACATAAAAATCGAATCAGAACAATAATATTTTTAAGTACTTGAAATGGATAAACTTTGAGTTACTGAATGGCTGACTGTGCAAGACCAATTGACTGTCTGAGTACTCCAACACTAACTGCTGGCTCATTGACTTACTGACTTTCTGATAGACTGCCTGGCTAACTGACTGATTTTGGCTGACTGACCGAATGATTGACTGAATGAGTGACTGACTGACTGACCGACTGGCTGACTGAAAGACTGACTGAGTGATGACTGACTTAAACCAACTAAATGACTGATTGGGCAAGTGACTGACTGACTAATTAACTGACTAACCATTAACTGGTTAAATGATCTAAACTGACTGATTAAACCATCTGATCTCCATACATTTCTTTTTAAGAACAGTTGAATGGTTTAAGATTGCCTGCCTTTGACAATTTGATTGTCTAGCTGAGGAGAAAATGATGTTGACTGATTAACTCACTGATTGATCTGATAGACTCAGTGACTGACCAGCTGACTAACTGACTGATTGACTGAATGGCTGACTGTCTGTAAGTACTTGCATCACTTAAAGTACTTACATAACATGTAGTGGTGTAGTCTGACTACTTTAAAAACTTCAATTTGGTTAATTGTTTTCCTTTGAGGAAGATTTGTTCCGTAGAATATTTTAATATTAATATCGGTACCAATATGCTGTATGTATGGTTAATAATAATAATATTGAATTTTAACATAAAATATACCTAGGTCAACTGTCTTGTGATAATCAATTTTAGATTGTATTGAAACTGCCAAAAACTGCTCATCTGGAACTGGTAACCCTTTAAAAAACTGCAAGTGACAAATAAAGTAATTAGTATTATTTTAATGTTCAGTACATATATATACCCTTTCTTATTCAAGCTATGCTTACTTCGACAATCCCTTGCAAGAGGTATCAGCCAAAGGGCGGTTAAAAACACAGCATTTGTATATGTCAATGGGACAATGACACAGTGTCTGCTTATAGAAGATATTAGCAGAGAATCAAAGTATTTAGACCAACCAAAGTACATTGTATAATATCAGACCACCACTGTGTTGATTGTTTGATTTTAATAACTACTCAAATAAAAATGATTCTTGAAGATAGTCAAAGCAAAAGCTAACCAATATAATATTATATAATAATTTTAAGGTAATTACATACTGCAATTTAAACCTCCCTCACAGCAATGATATCTTCTTTTTTTCTCCTCATAAGTTCTTCATGAGTTCAAAATAAGAGTTTACAAATGAATATCATTAAATATTTTCATAAGTAGGAAGACGTTAACACAAAATGTTATTACCAGTGATATTTGCATCAAATGTTTTACCTCAACAAATGCTTGCTTTTCTTTCTCAATGTATGTTTTAAGTTTTTTAACCCATGTTGTTTTTTCTCTCTCCGAAGGTGCTAAGAATTTGTAGATTTGAGTTGGTGTTCCAAGAATAAACACTGTAATGTAATAACAATCAACAAGTTGGACATCAAAGCAGAAGTAAGTTTACAAGTTATTCTTCTTGATCTTTGAAACACACAATTCCAGGGCAGGGGTTTTTTGATCCTCGATTGGGCACAATAATACCAACCATTTTTTGTGCCCAATCAGGAGCCAGCATTCACTTGACTGTTTGGAAATGGTCAGGTGAGAGTCGGTCCTCAGGGGCTCTTCTGCCCGTGCTTAAAAACTTTTGTTGCACTTTGTCTGCCAGCCCGACTGACTGCCCCTGGGTCCCCAAGGATGGGGGTTTTTATTAGTATTAATGGACATTAATATCCATTACAACTTACTATTTTCTGGTGGGCTAGTGTAATATGCACTGGGGGGTGTAACCCATGCTTGTGCGAGAGGAATGTTGTGCTTGAGTTTATATGTTTTCTTTCCTGTTATAAGATTCTCTGATGCCTGGAAAATAATTAATGAAACAATGATAAATAATGGAAAATTAATTATTTATTGTATTTTATTTTATTATTTCAAACAAGGTCAGAAAGTTCAGGGAAAAGAAAAAATCAAATATTGGATACCGCACACTAAATCAACTTACCAAGCCAACCAGTAAGACATGATTAAATAAGAAGAGATGTCTGTAAAAAGACAGTGAGAACTTGTCAACTTTAGATGAATCAGGCTGAAACAGATCTTTGAAAAAATAGCTGAAATACTATCTTTCTCACAGGTATAAACAAAATATCAGATTATTGAGATTTTTATTTGTAACTACTTGTGTCACTGCCTCCTAATTTCTTCAATTTTAAACCCCATTTGTCTCTAATTTGTCGAACTCTTGTTTTCATACCATAGATTGTTAACTGGTACACTCTCTAAAAACTGTCCGTAAAAAGCTGCCCGCAAACTGTTGACTGAGAGATTTTTCAGCAAACTATTTTTTTTTTACCAAATTGAGTTCAATAAAGATAGGGAGTATACAGCATTGCTGCATTGTAGAATATTATACACACAATTCAGACTGACCTTTCAACTGTTTCATGCACCATTCCACCCTCACTGGAGCCAGTGGCTTTTTTGGTCACCCTCTCCACATCACCGTCATAAATATATGTACTGAAAAAACAAAGGAGAATTTTTTAGTTTGCTTCAATGGGTGGTACAAAATGAGTTAACAAAAATGGATGACAAATAAACCTGCCTACTTATTTAATCAGAACATCAAATAGGCTGGGCTTATGTCTAGGTTGAAGAGAACTTCCAGCCACAGGACTGGTCGTAAAAGTGAAAGCTTCTAGATACTACAAAAGCTGACCATAAGTCAACTCTGTCCACAAATACTGTGGATCTCTGCATGCAAAATCCTATGGTGCAACCAATCACATAAGACCTCACATGGCATTTGTTTATTTGTCCCTCAGTATTTCATAAATAAATGAAAATTAGAGGTCAATAAATTAGTACTGTTTTTGGACACTCTTATAATAGTAAATGAGTAGTTCCAGAAAATATCCATATACCCGTGCACACCAAGGGGAGGTATTTGCTCTATAAATCCCCTCTCCTGTGGAATTCCAATTGCAATTAAGCTTCATGCATTGCTTTGAGTCTTTGAGACCTCCCACGGCCCCTTGAAAAAGTGTACTATTCTCCTCCATGGGGGAGGGGGGTTAGGATATATGCTGGAACTACATAGTGAGCTACTATACAGGAACAACTGCACTCAAGGTGCACTTTCATTTTATCGACCAAGGCCATAAACCTGCGGAGTATGATCCTAAGCCAAAGTATCCCACTTCATATTGTACAAGAGTGGCAAACTGTTTAGTAGGTGAAGTCTGCAAACGAGCCAAGAGGCCCATCAGGCCAGAGCTAAACTACTTACAGGGCCCAAAGAAAGTCAGTTTTTCAACTTGCTATTCCAGCAAACTTTAGCTATCATGTACTAGCCCAAAAGTCATTTCAACTAGCCCACAAAAAGTTTTTGAATAGCACGATTTATTACAGTTCTTCTGTAATTTGAATTTCCCAAAATCTTCACCTCTAATGTCCATCTGGCAAGTTAAAAACAGAATTCACAAGCACAATATACAGCTGACTTCACTAGACCAGACACTTCTTTCTTTGCACACTATGTTTAGTAGCTACCTTGTTATAAATGTATCTCCTAATGATGAGGTCTCTGTGTCACTGTCACTGTCACTATTCTCAGCACTCTTAGGGCGAGAGTCATGTGCAACTGCTGATGAGCCACGTCGAGGCAAGTTGGGAGATGTGTCAATGGTGTCCATCAACGGAAGAGAGATCCTGTTAAATCAACCAGCTTATAGTTTGTTTTCTTTTTTAATTACCAAACTATGACCAAATCAATTTTTGGCATTTTTTCCTTTTACTATTAAATTTTCTTTTTGTGTTCAGTGGCTAAGAGAAGCAAATAGATAACGGAATAAATCAACTTTAGGCCATTGCGTGTAGAATGGCATCATGGCTGAGCAGTGCTACTGAAGACTTGCTAAAGTTCCCTTGGGAAAAGTTCTTCATTTATAGATCCCTGAATTTCACATGTTACAACTCAGTTGGGCTGCTTGAATTGTTTTCTTAGAGCAACACCTTATAACATGCAACGATATAAGCTCGTTATTAATAATAATTAAGTTTTCATGGTAAACTACGTAACATAAAATTATATTCATCCTACCTTTTGAGGCTTTTTGATAAAGTTGCCATATGGTCTTTATCATGTTTCCTAATTGAAGAAAACACCCCAATTACCTTTTAAAATTGACAGTTTATTAAGTAACATAATGTGGTATCAGAAACATTGAGGTGCACACAGGTAAAACATAAATTTATGAAAAGGAAGGCAAGAGACAGATATGGCTAACAGGCAGAGAATTGAACTGTTAGCAAGGCTAGTCCTTTTGCTTTTATTTTCCCTTTGTCTCCTATGAAAGTAGCTGGGGGACAGGGGTGATGCTTATGGTAGCTAGGGCAAATCCTACAAAACATATATAACAAATGCCATAGGATTGCAAATTATCAGCATGCATTGAAAGTGGTCATTTCCACACCATCTCGATCAGTCATGTCATAGGACATGCATGGAAAACTGTGTGGTATGTGATTATGGACATCAACATTAGATTTTTGATCCCATGCACTTTGTATACAAACTATTACCTTAGACGCACTGATCCAACAAATAACTGCTTTCCTAAAAACAGACAGCAACATTTTCAAGAATATTTTTCAACTCACCAGAACAAAGCAAAAAAGCAACTTGTTAAACCTGTGAATCCTAAAAATATTAAATTTTGTTGATGGTTGAATGCAGGCATTAGCTTCTTAAATATTGTTAGTATTAATAGCCTGTTAGAAAGCAATGACCAGCTTAATATGCCACAAGTTACTATCGTACAAGGTTTAATTACAGAGCATTAACATTTCAATCATGTTACAAAATTATTTTAATAATTAACATAACTTATTGTAGAGCACCATGTAATAAATTAATTTATTCATTCAAGTCAATTTGGTAGGAAGAAAAAGAAAATTAATTCAGTATAAAAATATACTTCACCTCTTAAAATATTTTAAATAAAGTATTAACTATCTGTTACAATGTAGAAAATAACAGATTAAATAAAACTGTTACCTGGACTGTTAAGCACAGCAGGTCGAATAAGATTCTGTTGAATATAAAACGTTCAAATTTCACTTTTAAAATCAACTTAATGTAAATTGAAAAGATAATACATGGTGGAACATTGAGACAAATAATAAGCTGCAATTACATTGGCAAGTTTTTCTTGATAGTGCAAATAAAATGGATTTTCAAATCAGGCAAAACTTGCCAGTGTAACTAATGCACTTTAAAACACTTACTGAAGACTGTCAAACTCACCAGTTCATCATTGGGAAAACTCTTTATGACTTCAACAACTTTTGTTTCATTCTCTATTTGACGAATGTGCTCATTTAAGGCTTCAGCCGTCTGTCAAAATAAAGTATTTTTTCCTTAGTTTTTTTTTTCTTTTTATCTTTTTCTTCCTGTTGCTCAGCTGATCTCCCTTAAAAATTTTAAAGATAAGTCCAAAAAGTATCCAACCTTGTAGTCAAAAGTTTGAGTGTCTAAAATCTCTAATAACAAAATTCGTTAAAGAGAACAGACAAGTAAACTAAAAGCTAAGCATTAATATGGGGCCATTGGATTCATTAGAAATACTTAAATAATATTTTGATCAGTGATAAGTGTGTACCCACACCAACCTAGCATGGTTTGGAAACAAACACCTGCCTAGTTTGGAGCATTTGAAGTCAGGCCCTCCATCGTACAACTATGAGTTCCTAAAAAGATGGTCACCATAGTAAAGATTTCTACTTGGATAAAATTTAATCCTACCATATGTAATAAATTTTATAAGTTAAAGAGGTAACTAAGATGTTACGATAGGTAAAATACGAAAGACAATTTGCACTCTTAATTAATCTCCAGATTACCTTCTGTGCTTTGCTCAATGCTTCTGTTAAGTTATCGTAGTCAGGATGATCCTTAAAATAAGAATCACACAAGAAAACTGTAACCATTTTACTTTAAAAACCACCCTTAGTTCTTTAAGATTTCACCTATTGTGACTTGATCAACTTAAGGGTAAAATAAACTATTTGATTGGAAAGCATTAATTATATAATTTGCAAATATAAGATTCTAACATTGCATTTTAATTTAAAACTAATTGGCTTTGTCACACCAAAGCAAAACAATACCTGGTAATTAGTATTAAAAAAACAATTTAATAACACCTTCCAGTAATACATCAAAAAAAATCAAGTAATACAAGTAAATTTTAGAGTGTGTGATACACAACACTAACCTTACTTGTCCTTTTCACTAATTCCTTTAATATCAGCTCGTATCTAGGAACCCTCTGAAAGATTGTAACGTTAAAAACGACAATCGTAATATGAATTAACTTAATGTCAATTTTATCATAACCAACATTTAAAACTTAAAGTTCTTAGCCCCAGTTCAAACTTTGAACTTTTGATGTACTGAACTTGATACTTATTTGGGTTTACCCAGATGAAATAAGTTCATGTTGATTCACGCGTCGAACTTTATAAGTCGGACTCAATTCATTTTCACAATGTACAATGATATACAATGCTTACCAATCAAAATAAATCATAGAAATTCATCCATTAGGTTCTTCTCATAAACGTTTGACATTTGAACTGGGCCTTAGATAAACATAGCTTAAGAACAGTCGCTCATTTTCCTTAAGGATAGAAGGACACAAGCAATAGACGAGTGTGCATGAAAATCACTGTATGCATGGTGATGCTGACATATTGTACACCCTAATCAGGGTTCTCCAAAAAATTTGATGTAGAAGGAGAAAAACATTATGAAGACGGCAACTTATTACGTCAAGCAACATGTCTTTCATAGGTATGGGAGGGGAGCCGCACTCCTTTCATTTGAAGGGTGGGGAAAATTTTAATGTGGAGGTTCCCGAAAGACTAGACTAGGGAAAGAAATTTTAGCATTTACGATGACATTTCTTTTTACTGCCATTTGCATCACAAGTTTGCTCTTGTGGAACAAAGCATTGGGAAGCAGATAAAATGACAAATGATGGCTTTATTATCCCACTTCAAAAACTTTTTTTTGAGAGTAGCCAGTGCCGCAGGGCTTCAGGACTACTATCCACGATCATAAGGAAATTATCACGCAACAACTCGTAGACTGTTATTATCTTCCCAACTCCTGTAAAGTTGTTAGGAGTTTTGACATCAAAGTGTTCACATCAGTTTTTACCTGTATTGGCATTAGAAGTAAAGAGTCCAATGTTTGGTTGCAATTCACCTAAAATGGGAGATAAAAAAAAAAAAATGATTTCAATATTGCCGTTATAACATTTTCAGTTGGAGGATAACATGGCCAAATGGTTATAAAATTTTAACACCTCTCGGGGCCACCAGTTCAAATCCTGCCCAACTTCTAGCTGGATTTGTTCTCGGTATCTTATGAGTTCAACTCCTTGGTCTTAAGTGTAAATAGCCAAATGGTTTGCTTCTAGCTAGCTGGGATTTGTACTTGTTATGTTATTTTCTGTTATTTGTTTTTGATCTGATAATGCAGGCCACGATGCAAACTTAGATCAGGCAGGAACTGGGTACCAGAAATTATATCATCCCGATAAAGTTGTTTTTGTAAAAAAAGAAAATGAACATAAATTCAACATCTGAATGCATGTTTATATATAATACTTAGTTTACTAATTAAAATGATTCAACAAGATGGTTTTTTGGTCACTGGGCCAAAAACATTGGCCACATTAACAGGACGGCCATATTAACAAGGTTTTTTTTACAGTTAAATGTATATATGGCGGTTTTTGCCAGGTGGCCAAAAAAAGTGGCCGTAATAACGAGGTGGCTGTATTCTTACAAAATTTAATGCAAAACAGTCTGCCACAACGACAGTAGAGTACTAATAGACCTTATTCACCACGCTTGCCATCTTTGCACACGCTTAAGGACTGATGGGATAAAAGTGATGTCACGTGGCTTCTGACAGGGGGCAAACAAGTGATAAATTCTTCCAATACAAGAAATCGCAGTCAAGTTTGTTTATTCTTGACGACAGAAAATGAACAACTTTTTATATTAAAGACAATAATGACCACTCCTGGGTGGAGGTAATTATTGTTACTTTTTCAATGCAGTGGCGACAGTAGATGTCTTTACAGCAAACAATAATGACATTAATTTTGTCGAAACTCAAGCTGTACATTTTGCATTACTATTAAATCGTTGTTTCATTTTGAGAGAATAAACTAAGTCGACCGCAATTTCTCACTTTGGCAAATTTCATCTTTTGTTTGCCCCCTTAAATACCACATAACATTGCTTTTATCCCATCAATCCTAAAGAGCGTGCAAAGATGGCGGGTATCGTGAATAAGGTCCATTAGGTTTAAGACTGACAGGGAAATTAAATTTACTGTGCCTTAGCAGAGACTCTGAGGGTAAATTCCTTAATATAAATAATTGAAGTTAACATGATCATTACCCATTACAGACAGTAAACCTTACCTTCGCCAAAAAATTTCGAAACTTCTCATTGTTCTTTTCTAATTTTACTTTTACCTGTCAGAAATAAAATACTCCCTTTACAATCTAATAGCTTCATTCTTTTTAGTGGACAAACAAATTATGTGACAGCAGATTTGACAGCTGTCATATCAGAAATATTTATAATAATAATAATAATAATAATAATAATAACAATAATAATAATATAACGGCAATTATCAAGAAAACCAATCAGAAGTCTATCAAACTGATATAACAACTGTGATGAAAGGATGTGAAAACACTAAGAAGCAGTACAATGTTTTTATAATAACTTAGGTTTATTACAATGCATGTATAGAAAATACTTATTTTAAAAAGCATACTTTTAAAACTCCCCTACCCACATCATCAGATGTGGGTTGGTAGGCAGGTTCGACCATTACAGAGGAGCTGAGGGGGAATCTGGAGTAATGTAATGAATACTATTTTGAGTAATCTTTGTTCTGAATATGGGTCCCAGCTGAAAGGAACGACCCTGGGACCTTCTCAACCCATCCTGGTGTGAAATCGTGTCGAGCCATAGTTGATACAATTCTCCATCACATATAACTGATTTGCACTAATCAATTGACAACGTGATGCCTTGTGTTAGCAAGTACCTGCTTGATAATGTTACTTTTACAATTCATACCTCGTTGCCTCTCTTCCTTGACTTGAAATAAGGTTCAAACATCATCACATAAGAAAACTGCAAAACAAAATGCATGTAATTTTTATTAAAAGATCAGCAAATTTCAGACAACATAGAGGCCCTGCCAGGGTAAATTTCGACAAGCGACATGGCCCAAAAAGTAGTGACAGCGCGTAAAATGAAATTGCGACCTGAGACAACCTCCCTCAGCCAAATTGCGACAGTGACGGCAAAGCCGACAATAAGTGACAAGCGTTTCTAAACACCGAAACGAGACGTTTTAAAATTCAGACGGGCGACATGGGACCCTCCCCCCCCCCCTGGAAGGGCCTCAACATAGTTTAAGACAAAATTAATGTGAAAAGTTATCATTTTGTCAAGTACCCACCATTTCTACAAGAATATCTCCAATCAATGTTGTGTTCACATCCCAGTGGGCCAAACGTGTTTGAAGCTTTGCAACCAGTTCTTTACTTATAGTTTCTAAGGACTGCAAAGGAGATTTAAGAATTAATAATATCATAATACACTTATTAACGGAGACCTACCCACATGGCTCAACAGTTTACATTTTTGATTTAGATTTGATTTTCAGTATTGAAATCATCACATAAAATAATTTCTGGAACAAATGTTACTAAAGCATTTGGTCATTATTCAATATCATTTTGCTCTTGTGTTTAATACACTTACGCACCTCAGCATTTGCAAATATTTTTTTAAGATCTTCACTGGATATAATTCGAAGTTTCCTGAGAGGTCTTATGTAATGCTACAACGAAAAAAGACAAAATCGATTCATTATGACATACTAAATTATGGTGCTCAGTAGTGTGAAGAAAATGCAAGTTTGCCTTAACAGTTAAAAGGTAGACACGTCTCGAAAAATGAACCACAAGGTTCATGCACTCAGCCAGACCTCATCCCTAGCTATTACTGTTGCATAAAGAACCCAGGCTGAGTATTACGTAACCAGCCCCCACCCTTCACCTTTTGGACAGGATGCCAGTCCAGTACAGGGTGTTTTAGCTCAGTTAAGAGAGTGCCGGTCTCCCGTGCGCGAGGTTGTGGGTTCAAACCCCGGTCTGACCAACATTCAGGGTCTTTAAATAACTGAGAAGAAAGTGTTGCCTTTGTAAAGGCATCTGCAAATGATTAGACTTTTTAGTCTTCTCAGATAAGGACGAAAAACCGTAGGTCGTGTCTCACATGACGAAAGTAAATAGGACAAGCAAGTGGGGAATCAACAGTTACAGTTACTGTTACTGTGAGGGATTTCTTTTGGCTCTACAGTCTAACCTCCACTAACAGCCACCTCTGCACAATGGCCATCTCTCTTCAACTTGCTAGCAGGCTAATCTCTGGCATCCAGGGTATAGAGTGATTTACTCTATACCTATGACTGTTTTCTCATAAATTATTATCCCCTGAGAGTAAATGTTGCTCCTGATTTTAAGAGAAAACTTCATTTAGACTTGCTTGGTGCTAAACAGGATGCTACTTCTTCACACATTACCCTTAGTGTGTTCTCAGATAAATGTTACATTTACACTGAGTGCTTATAGCTAGACACATAACCGAATGTTTGGTAATTTTCTCAGCTATGATTTATATACTTTCTGTAGTCTGTTGGTGACTGTTGCCATTTGCTAGACATCTGCTGGCCGATGACAGTTGTTTAAAGGGGATGTGTGCGTTAGAATCTCCCAGTTTTTGGTCATGCATGCACTGTAATGATGTCTACATCAAGACTAAAGTTATCATCAAAATGGTGACAATGATCCTGTTGTAATGATAATTATGTATGCTTACATTAAGATTGATATTAAAATATAACATTGCAGACTACATACTGACCCCAGACAAGAGATTTAATCCGTTGAAATATGAAACCTCTGATGTTAAAAGTTCCTGGAGAAAGATAAAAAGTTAAAATCATTAGCCAAGCATTTCCACCAAAATAAAAACTGAAAGTTATATTGCAAGATTCAGCTAGTTGATCCTGAGAGATGATGAATACCAATGAATTCTCACTTGCTAATTTTCAGGTTTGATCGTGAACAACACCTTCATCTTTTGATTCTTTCATCAGATCATTTGATTCTTTCATGAAATAGTTTCAGTCCAATTATTTTGACTATTCTCTCAAAGACGAGATCTAGGTTTAAATCAAATAATAGTATTTTTGCCAATAAATAGGAAGAAATGAAAAGTTTAATTTGCAAACCATTTTTCCTGAAAATATCTGAACTTTCTGTATTTCACCCATTTATATACCCTCTTATTATTGGGTATAAATATGGATGTACAGCAGCATATTATTTCGTTTTCAAAATTTAAAACCCTTTTGCATCCCCAAGAAAAGGTGATCATTGATGGAACTCCAAACTTACCATTGCCGCCTTTGTTCTTTTTCGCTCTTCAGATTCTAGAATTAAGTACAATTAAAATTTTACTGCTGTAAACAGGGTAAACAAAATAATTCCCCCTGGCAGATTGCCACCTTCTTGTGGTCAGAGAGCTGGTATGAATGTCTAAGTTAAACCAAGAGAGCTACACTGGCAGGAGCAATGTCTCCTGGTAAGGCCACCCTTGCTGGACAGGTTCTAGGGGTAGAGGCTGGGGGTTTAAGCACAAGGCTAGCTACCTTGCACTAAAATAACTTACACGTAACAGACTGAACCCAACAGTTCACCCCTTTGGTTTGGAGAAAGTTAGTGATGAAACATACCATGTACTACTCACTACATAGCTAATCTGAAGGTGCGCTGCTGTCATGTGAACATATGATTAGGGAGTACTGAGTTAAAAATCAAGCTGGGCTGTACTTCATTCAATGCTAAATGGTTAAAAACACTTCTGCAAAAAAAAACCTTAAGCCTAAAAACAAAAAAGGTTTCAAACAGAACAGCTTCCTCTCCACGTCCCTCAACCAAGGAGCCAAAGCAATAGGGAGCTAAAGCCACAACAACAGCAACATCAACGAGAATGGAAAAGAAGCAATGGGATTAGATAAGCACAACAACTTTGCACACGGATCACGCTTTTTTGTTCATTTCTTTGCTGTCGTTGAGCGATTACACCATGAAATTGCCTAATTTCACGTTTTGTGGAGGACATGAAAACAAGACAGGACCCTATTTTTCTTTTCCTGAACTTTGATACAGTCCTTTAGAATTGAACTCCCGAAAAATTCGCCAACATTTTACAAGATGAAATAACCCCCAAAAAGTTTGAAGAGTGTGAATTCACACACTTTTTAAGTGGCATTTTTGTAGCTGCTACCGTCATTGTTGCTTAAGACCACTATTATCCAACTTAATACACCTTTCCATTGTTTTAGAGTGAGCAGGTCATTATTATGGTCACTGAATTAACAAAATATAACAACATCCTGTTCCAAAAATGACCTAATCGTCCATTTATTGAAATTAACAGCCTAGTGTTCAAAATCATGGAAAGGCATATTAATGATAATGATCAAGGAAAGATGTACAGACAACAATAACAATGCTTCTTTACCTGCCCCATCACGTGACATTGAATCAGCAATAATATTTAGCCCATGAAATGAAGTAAATGTTCCTGGACTTAAGCCGCCACTGTTATCACTACTGAGAGAATCTGATCTGTCCACTCCATTTTGATTGACATTCGGCTGTCTATCCTCCATATCTTTATACTGGTCCTCTGTTCCTGTACCCTCAGAGGTCATACTTCCTCGATTGATTTCTAAATCTGCTAAAATATTTGTATTAACCTCTGTTGCTGGAGAAGAATTTGAAAGAAATTCTTTTGAAGCATCTTGCCTGAAATATATATCAATAAACAGGAAACAAATCATGACCAATATAGGTGAAATGCTAACATAAAGCACAGGGCTGCTATCTAGAGTCAACTGGTGGCTCCTGGTACCCTACTTTTGCTCTTGCACAACTACGAAATCTTCATTTTTTTCACAGACACCCTATGTTGGGTATCCTGGTTTTCACAGCTCCATTCAATTTTTTTAGAGCGTTGCCTAATAAAGCAGGCATTGTGTTGTTTCAGAAAATATCCATTCCAACTCTAAACAGGATAACTAGTCAGGCATTTCAAGGGGGGATGGGGGTCTTAGAAGGCCAAAAACTGTAAAAGAACAGTTTAAAAATAAAGTGGAACTTTATGATAAAGGCAGTGGGGTGGGGATCTAAAAGGAGGTAGTGTGGCAAAAAGGTCAGTGAGTCAGACTCGCTATCCGGTGGTCCCAGGTTCGAGTCCCACTCTGGCGACTTGCTGGATTTGTTCTCGGTCGTCCCGAGCTCAAATTCTCGGCCACGCTTGTAAATAACCAACTCGTTGCCTCTTGCCAGTTGGGGTTTTTAATCCTGTTATATTGAATTTGAATTTGAAATCTGTTGTATTTGAATTATTTGTAAATCTAAGTATTTGAGTGGAGTGCCTGTAAACTAGCTGAATAAGCTAAGTGCACTTTCCACTATAAACAAGCCTTTTTTTAAACCCTCCTCTATGATTCATGTCATGGCCTTTATGGATTGTGGGCCTGAGCAGGCAATACCATCAAGTGATACAGGTCAGCAGATGCCCCATTTTGACAGCTGTCAATTGACTTTGACAAGAATGGCATACATCACTTTGAGACATAATGGCATTTTTTGTTCCATTTTTGTATCTGCATATGTGTGAACTTTCACATTCATTTGGTTTACATGGACAGACGGATTGGACAGTTGTACAGTTACATCTGATTTTTGGATGTATAGCTAGCGTTTTCACTACTCGCTCAAATCAATTGGGGCAAAAGGAAGTGTTTACATGACAAAAAGTTTTATTTCCAGCAAGATTATGAGACACCAACATGGCAGCCATTTTATTGTTTAGGGACACAACATTGTGTGAAAACAGTCTACAGATATATAAGTAGATTTTACCTATGGTGCTCCATGGGGTGTCTTGAAAACAAAGACCCCTAAGATCCCCCACCAAATGACTCTGAACTTTATTGATTAGGGCTAGGACACTGAGTTAATCAAACTTTCAGGTCAGTTTGTCCAGTATAATGACTTAAATGGAACCTTATTCACTCAGTCTCCTAACCCTATTCAATGAAGTTCTGAGTAATTCCGTGGGGGGTTTTGGGGTTCTTAGCGGTCTTTGTTTTCAAGACACCCTACTCCATGTGCAACACATCAGGGCTCCACTATAATGCAGGATAGTTGACAGGGAGCTAAAAATGAAAAAAAAACATTTTCTTCTCTTTCAAAATAATTGTCTAACCTACCATTCGATATTTTCAGCTTTATCAGAGTCCTTCACAACAAAATTCCCAGGAAAACATCCAGCCTAATGACAATTTGGAAAGGTATTTTGTTAGTTGCTACAAAGCTGAATTTTCAGGGATGTAGCTAGTAGGATAAAGCTACAATCAGGCTTCTTTATCAGTCAAGCTGGCTTTTTAACTGCAGACCCTCAAATTACCCGTGTTGTCTTTGTTTTATGGCATTACAATTTGACCCAGTGGTTAGCTCTTTTTCTGCAGGCGAAATTAACAAGCAGCTGTCTTATGAATTTCCTTTTGGAACAAATTTAACCCCTTGCCTACCAGAGCCAAATACACCCAGCAACTGGCAACCATTTCTCTACAGCAGAAGTTTATTTATTCAAGACAACTCGAACGACCAGGTTGTTGGTAAATTCATTTGTCTGAGGATGTATATTTACATTCTAGGTCGCTGAGTGACCTCACAAAGGACGTATAATATATACGTCCTTGGTAGACAAGGGGTTAATATAATTATAAACACTGGCTGATTGTGTATTCACTATGATATATCTACATGTACTGTTTCTTTATAATTTATGGATGCCTGAGATTTACATGTTTTTTTTTTATGTTGCAAGACATGATTGTACACCATTTTTTGATTTTGTTTGACTTTGCAGCTTTTGATTAGAAGCAAGGATGCTTCAATGTCAGCCTGTCACTCTGACATTATCTTCCAGTACCTCTACGTAGCTACTACAAATATACCTGGTATCCTCTGTATCTTATTCCTCTGTACCAACCATCTTTATACTTCTTTAACACAAACACAACATCTCCCTATCACAAAATTAACAATACTGTCAGGAGAGAATTACTTAAGCACAGGGTTGCTATGCTTTGACAAAATATCTTTGTGGCATATGTGCAAAAGGTCAAAATGAAATTCAGGTTAAAATGGTTTAAACCTACAATCAAGGACACCTAACTTAGGCCATATAGCTCTGGTACCTGTCTTTCTCCTTTTTTATGTTTTGGTGGATTTCTCTAATATTTTCGAGGCTAACATTGAAAGGTAGAGAGAAAAGGAAGTCAAGCACAACATGTCAATGTTGGCAATTCCATTGACCCAAGTTCTAATGTCACGAATTGTAGGTTTAATTCCTATTTTCCTTCGTCTCCTAGTCCTTAATATCTATTATCATGACTCATAAAATTAGGGCAAGAAAACATAGGAAATTGAGAAGGGGAAGTACCCCATTAAACTTCAGATCAGGCTCTGCAGTACGCTACCTATTTCAGACCTAAATCACTGTTAAAACCCAAGGGTGCGTTCCTTTGGAATGATCCGGATCAGGATCAGTGATCCAAGATCACTCGGATCATGGTAGATCAAATGAACTGATGAATCCTTGTCCAGAGTGGATTCATCTGTTCATTTGATCTACCATGATCCGAGTGACCTCAGATCACTGATCTTGATCCGGATGATCTCAAAGGAACGCACTCCAAGAGCGACCAAAATCAAGTTTCTCCTAACAATATCTTGGCATCACAAAGAGAAATGGTTATGAGAGTGAACAACACGATCATAATAGCGAAAATGCTTTAATCTCCTTTAAAATTCTCTTAACTGATTATATTCTCTAAGGAAATGTATGGACATTGGTCTGGAAAATTTGTATGTACATATTGGCACTAAAAAGGCTTAAGAGAGAAATGATGCCAAAACACCATACCCAGTTCCAGCCTCTGATTCCAGAGAGCATAAAACCTTACCCTACTTCAGACCCAAATGGTTGAGACCAATTCTCAATATAAGAAGTCAAAAACTACACCCTATTAGGGCTGTACTTTACCAGTGTAGCTTACATGCATACAGCTATTTCGAGAAAGGTTGTCGGAAAAAATGTGTACGCGACAATCCCAAAAGGTAATATGGGATATGATCGATACACTGTTCCTGAAACTGTGACTGTCGAACTTACTTTTGTTGCTTTCCTTTAGCAAACGCAAACGTAAGTCCATGGTCTCTCATGCCATGCTCGCAAATTTCTTTGAAGCACGGTGAACTTAAAACCACCAACAATACCTTTCAGGATTGTCGCATGCACTTTTTCAGACAACCTTTCTCGAAATAGCTGTATAGGAGAATATACTTCCTCCTCCCCTGGGGTTCCGAGGAAATCACTGCTTTGTAATTCCATCATATATACTTGTCATAAATCTCATACCCATACTCAGATCTAAAAGGTTGTCAATCTCCCATGGTCGACACACCACTTGAATTCACTCAGAAACTACAATAGCTTGTTATAAATAGCATTATGTTTCCGTTAATAAATATCCATAATAAGAAAATAAATTTCTCAGTCTACTGCAACGCGACAAAGTCCCAGTGTAAAAGAAACTCAATTTTACCTTTGATAATGCCACTTCATCTTTTTTGGATGGTTCAAAATCCCACACAGCAACAAACTTTTCGAGATTACTGGCAAATCCAAAAAAATTGGCAAAATAAACACGTTTATTTACAATTTCCCACAGGGCACTAACAATAATATCACAAGCTGGACTAAAGACAACTAATGTGTAGTGAACTATAAAAAATCCTTATCTTTGTTTTCACAACGCGTGAAATGTTTTTAGTTCCCTGCTAGCAGAGGTCTCTCACGACAATGCCTCGTCGTGAGAGACCTCTGCTAGCAGGGAATGTTTTTAGCAGACAGAGGTGTTTAAAGCTTAAACCTAACGGATACCAGATGCAATATTTAGCACAAAATATACCGAAAAAGTCAATACATTTTCAAGATTCCAAAACGTTTGCTATAATGACTATAATATTCAGGCATCACCAATTCATGCCTCAAGAAAGGCGTTCTTTACAAAAAAATGGTTTCATTATAGATTAATTACAGTTTTACAGCGAAAATTATTGAACAGAGACAATACCGGTTGAAGCATATTACTTATATTTGCAATGTGCTTACCTCTAAAAGCAAAACAAAGCCGTCTATTAGCCGGACAATATTATTGTCTATAGAAAAACACGCCATGCCATAAATACTAGACGTACAATGCTCTTTTTTTGGAAATGAAACTTACCTTGGTCCCACGCAATCCATATTCAGACGTGAAGGATTGAATGTTGTAAAATGCTCTTTCACGATTTTCTCTGCGTCGATTTCGCGAAGACGAAACTAGGTAATTAGCTGATCTACAGCCAGTCCTCACTGGCACCTCGCACAAGCTTTATCTTTTCGGCAGTTTCTCGCGGCTAACTGACCACAATTCAGGAAATAATGAAACTCAAAATTGAAATAATCTCCGTGACCGTGTCATGGTATCAGATGTCACCGAGCTGTCACCGAAGACTTCATTTTAACCCCGCCAAAAACAGGTCACTTTCAAAACATCACACAAGTGTTGTAAACAATCCTTTTGAGTGTGCGTTTCTCTGCACTCTAGAGTACAAGCAAAAAAGAATATAAAATCTTTGGCTTCCACAGATTAAAAGATAACTGGAATCACCGATAATCCACCGGTTCGAACTAAGGTCACTTTCGGAAATGCCTTCCAACTGATGGAACGAGCTTACAGTCGTGACGTAACACAAAAAATCGAACTTCCGCCGATTGTATTCACTCTAAAACTAAAATCTCCGGCATTTCACACTTCAACCAATCAGGGCTCAATAAATCATGCAATCAAACAAATACATATTCCTGTCATTTCCGGAACAAACACATATAACGAAGTTTGGTTTCATCAACTGTTTACCATATAGACGCGTGAACCGTACTTAGACGTGCCAAAACTCATCACCAAGATAAAGAAGAATTATGTATATCGATATTCCGTGTTTTAATTAAACCATTAACAAACGACATTTTTGTCACCCCAATTATATTTTTGTATTTTTGGCATACACATATTTTCTACACGTACACTTACAACGTATTTTATATTATCACGCTAACTTCACTTGTGTATTTTCCTCATACTAATAACTGACGTGAGTTCACCAACATGGCCGGACGCGCGTAAATTTATTTTGTACTATTCTCGATTTCATTAGTTCTGTAAAAAATGTTTGCATGGTATTTGCTTTGTTTTTCTACACAATATTTGTAAAATGCTTGATTCAGCAAGTTTAATAATCTGCAGTCGACTTTTTGGTATAACTGTTGTTGTTTTTTTTTTGTTTTTAACTTGTCCTCAAACTTGTGCTCGCATCAATTGAATTGTTTCTTGTCAGTCGGTTTTTTTTTCGGTCTTTACGCTCCTCATGCTTTTAATTTTCACCTAGCAAGACCAAAAATGGATGTTGTTAGGGACAGACCATTAGAAAACTTATGGCGGGGGGACGGGCGAAGTACAAAAAAAATATTCTCGCAAGGGAAAATTACACGAAAAAAAATTCATGCACTGACGCCATTTAATCCTAAAATATATTCATGCTATGCCCTTAAAAAAAATTCATACAAGGAATTTGATAACGAAAAAAAATTCCTGCGGCTCGAAAATTCCCCTCCCACCCCCCATAACTTTTCTAATGGTCCGTCCCTTACTACGCTCCCACGTAGGCGTTTTTAGGGGATGAAAAACGAGCTCCCCTAAAAACGCTTGCGTGGGAGGCCAGTCCCTTACGGTACTCCAACAGGGAGCCCATCAAAGACTAAATTCAAAACAACATTATGAAAACTAATTTACGGGTAAACTTCACATTCACAGTTAATAAATTCACATCAAGGAGAATTTCTCAGCAAAGCAGTTTATTTATTCTTTGTTTTGAACTTCAACTAATATTTTTGCCTTAACGTTTTGCTGTCAGTAAATCATCCGCGATTCTCTGTCCTTGTTCTTTGCCAGTAAAGTAAGCTCCCTGCATGTAGCCGTACCAATCCTCGCTCATTGCTTCCCCCGCGAAGTAAAGTCGACCCAGGTTCTTCGCGAGGTTTGAGAAATCTTCCGTAGTCATACCTACAACTGGCTCGCTGTAGGCTCCCAGGGTAAAAGGATCTTTGGACCAACGGCGATAGAATATGGCTACAATTGATTAAGAGAAAATAAAACTTCAAAATAGATCTATATATAACATTAGAAACCAAGAATGGACATGGTTAGCGACCTAGAAATTGAACTTCAGTGGCTTAGCCTCAAGCTCATGATCAGAAAGTTACACAAAAAACTAGCGCTAAATATGTGTCCCTCTGTGACCGAGTAAATGTATGCTCACATTAATGTTAGTTTGTATCCATTTGGCTGAAACAAGAGACTTTTAGGTTGAACCGCGAGTTCGAGACCGAGTAGGAGTACAACCAGTGCACAGATGCAAAAACCGTAGCGTCGTAAAAAACAGCAATAGCTACCTATACAGATCCAGGGGGGCTAATCTGTAACTGTTTGACTTAGAGGATGTGCTAGAACCCACAGCCTACAAGATAATGTTCACCGGTAATTTTGCTTCCCTATTTTAGAATAAAAACCTCTCTACCATATCACAGACGAGCTATTGAAACACAAACTCCAGTGTTCATTTTCCCAAACAATTGCCTATTCTAGACCAGACGTCTCTTATGTGATCTGTTCTATGCCCAATCACAGGCTAAACTGGGTGGGAAGTTCAAGTTGCTGGCCCACAAGCCTGCTTGTTTTCTATTGATCTATCCCCATATTCAGTATCATCATTTTTCCTACCCAATTTACCTTTCCATGTCGTCATATTCAAGGTGGCGAGCATCAAAAAGGAAAAAGGGAGCACTTTATTCTCTCTCGCCCTCTCCCTTCTCTCTCCCTCCCCGTTTTACGCCTTCCACGCTGGCTACATGTTCACGGCATGACGTACTTCTGTTTTAAGGTATGGTTAAACGGGCAACAAAAACGTGAAACTTGTTTTGCAACATATTGCAGCAATACCTGTTAAATAGCGGTGTTACGCGTTTTACATCCAACGCATCAAACCTGTTGTGCAACAAATCAGGTTGTTGCAGGTTGCGAAAAATTGTTGCAAAAAGTGGAGAATAGTTCTACATTTTGCAACAAAATCTGTACGTATTGCGCGTTTTACCGGCCCAAGACAAACTTGTTTAGCGGCAAGGGACGTAACTTCCGTACTCCCGCGTAATTTTATCCAATCAGAAGTTAGTATTCACTCAACTTGCAACAACCTAATTCAGTGTTGCAAAACAGATTTGATGCTTGTGTGGTAAAACGCGCAATATTGCTATTCAGCTCGTTTTTCAGCAATGATACAAAAGTAGTTGCAAGCTTTTGTTTCCCGTTTTACTGTAGCTTTAAGCCGTGTGCGGCCCAATTCTCAGTAGCTTTTACGATCTGACTCTGAAAGTTCTGATTTCTTAATGCTAACATACCTGTTGGTTCAGGAATGTTATCACCATAAATTTTCCTCAGAGTTTTCATTATCTCTTGCTTCGTTTCTTCGTCCGTTTGTCCTTCAATACGTCTTCCTTCGTCTCCTGTCACAGTCACCAGTAATACGTTGGTCCCATAATTGGTAAAAGGCCTTCTTTTTCCATGTTTTGCATCACTGGAAAATAGCCGCGTCGCTTAGAGGCGTACAAAATGTATTCATTGTCGTCCCAGAATTTATATGGGAACTTAAGAAAAATCTTCGTGTAGACGGACATGGGGTTTTTATAGATAGCTTCTTGTTTCCACTGGGGGAGGGGAGGGTTGAACGCTATACTGTCACTTGCCAAAACACCGGTGCTAAAGGTACACAAAGCATAGTCAGCTACAAACGTTTCATTTTCTTTAGTCTGAATAACGACTGAATTGCCAGAATATGTTATACTGTCAACAGTTTTCTTCAGCAAGACTTTTTTCTTCACACGTCTGTAGAGACTTTTATACATAAACCATAAACCCCGTTGATCTGAGACAAGGAAGTCTTTACCTTCACCTATTAGGTTGTAGAAGGAAATCAGTTCCGGGTTCTTGGAATGGGTAAAATCAATTTTGAAATACTCGAGAACCTTTTCTATAGGGCTGTCACTTTTCCATCCCATTAGTTGCAAACCAACTCTAGCCGGAATTTGAGGCATGTTCCTTTTCTTTCTGTGCCACTGAAAGTCTTCAAGTTTTTCCACCACAGTTTTCTTAAACTTTTGAATGACTTTCCAATCTGTGACGTCTATGCCATTTTCGTCTCTATGTAAAAGAAAAAAAAAGCAATTTTAACTATCTTACAGCTCAGTCAGTCAAGTGTTGCAGACCCACTCGTCTGAGTAAAGAAACTCTATTGATGAAACCTGCATTAAATCAACACATGAAACCAGCTTTAAGTTCTTCTTTCGTTCTTCTTCTTTTCTTCAGATTTTCCATATCTTCGCCAAGAAAAACGTCTAAGGGACCTTCTCTTTTGTTGTTGTTGTTGTCTTTTGCGGGGGTGGAGGAAGGGGGCGGATTCGCATAAATCAGTTAGTCCCCTAATGAGCTCAGGGTCACCTTGTTGACCCCGGAAAGTGGGACTATCAGGTATATTTCTTCTGATCATTCCCCTTATATTTTAATTTTCAACAACCCCAAAATACAATATTTTCCAATGCTCCATAATTCAAATCAGGCAAAAATTCTCAAACCATTATTGAACATTTTGTTACGCCTAATGGAGCCATAAAATCTTGGCTCCGGTAGTTGGAGTATAAGACAGAAATAAAAACGAAGAGCGAGGCTCAGTTTTGTTAGACTATGAGCAGTCTCTCTTTTTTCTTGGCCCGTCAAGCAAAACGCTCGAGACACGCAAATGACCATGCGGGTGCGCTCCCCTCACTAAATATGAAGAAAAAGAGACACTGTTCGCAGTCTACAGTTTTGTGAACAGAATCCTCCCTAAACCGTACTACTTTTCTGGCCCTTCCTTGTAATGAAGACAATAGGTATGCAAGTAAATACTTTTTCTCTTACCTGATGATGAAGTCAGAGTAATTGCTCCAAAGTCCGCTGATTTTTGAATCACTCATCAACTTCACAAGAACTTCTGAAGCTTCGTTATCAAGGGAATGAAGCCAGTTAGCTCCTGCCTCAACGCGAACCCCCTCAAATTGGACCGCATGAATTCTCCCTCCGATGTAATCTTGACCCTCCAGGACATAAAAATCCTTGATGTTGTTATCAAGAAGGGTTTTAGCGGTGGTGATCCCCGACAGGCCAGCTCCAAGAATAAGGACCTTTGTCTTGACTTTTTTATCTGTTCCTAAACCTTCTGACGTTGTTGTAAATGACAATGATAATTCCAAGAATAACAGAAAGGCTAACAACAGGCCTAACCTCATTTTTATGTTTTGATATGATAGCTCGTTCTACAGGGGACGAACGTTGAAGCGAGCGGTATACAGAATATATAAAGCTATGTGAATCGAAACTAGAGATGACCAGGCTAAACTGGTTACTATAAACTTCTACCAAGCTACTAACAGAGAACCTGTTCACTTGAATTGCGAGAATAGAAATACCAGGAAACTTCAGTGGAATCAGTGTATTCCGAAAGGGTAATTTAACCCCAAACTCAATCGTACACGTGCACAGGTAGTAACACAGGTAGTAACACAGGTGGCAACACTGACAAGTCATATCAGGCAGTAATCGATACTGAGACAATAGTTTCTATCCTACTCAGCTGATATATTATTTGAACAGCAGGCAGGCGGCTTTCTAGTGATATTATAATAGTTTACATAAAGTAAAACTGCTACAGTACGTAAAAGGTGTGTGATACGCGATACTTGTAACTGGTTACATATATTAAGATTATGACTGACCTTTCTTGGTTGTGTCAAATTAATTCTGAGTGTTAATTTCAGTGACAGCTCGAATAAATCTTGTAAATACAGTTGGTCGTTTTATTGAAAGATTAACCTCAGTTTTGGTTATACGCGTTACCTCCAACCCCCCTATTTCAGATATTTTGTATAAAGTGCCAGTTTGTTTTCGAAACAAACTATTTTCAAATTAGCGACCTTAAGAGTCCTTGTAAAGCAACATCTCTCCTCCGTCCTTACCAGAAAAAAAACAATTCAAGATCTTTTCCGAAAAAAATCATTTGTTTTAAGTAGGTATATATTTGTTTTAAAGTTGTCACCAAAAACCGGTTTTTTTAAAGTACTCTTCATCGATGAGGAATAGTCACAGCGCTTTCATTTGGACATAGACAACGTTACTAAGTAGAGTTAAGAGTGAGTCCGCGAGTAATTGGTAAAATCAGATTACAAAAAGACGATTCAGACTCATTTTTCTGTCGCAACGACAAAGCCTTCAATTACTGGCCTCTCCTGACATGGGAAGACAGGTTCGACCGCTTTTGTTACGAGAGAAATCATGGTTGTGCTAAGAGGTATTTTGGCCCCTTCAATGTGGCGATTGCAACAATTATTTATGTTTAACGTAAAATAAGTCAGATAACTAAACGGTCTAGTTATCTTATCGATTTCGGCATTTATCACTGACTGGGTCTTTGTCGCGACTTTTGCTTAAATATGTTACCCTTTCTTTCAACATTTCATATATTGTTTGAATACGGAATGTCTTTTCTTTCCGTAACACCTCACAGTTTTAATTGAAACTGACTCTGTAAAACTAGCTAGTTTTGGGTCTTTTTGTAAAGAGCTCGTTTTTATTCATTTATTGCCTTCATTACGTTTAAGACAAACACTTTTAATTAATACTTCCACCTCTAAATTTTAATTACAACTTACAAATCAACCAGTTGGTATCTCTATTATAAAACTAATATCAGTTTCTTTTGTAAAACTTCGTTGTTTGTTTTAACACATTTTGTGTCTATTTGAAGCCTACAATTAGTCAGTTTTCAATCTTTATCACAATTCACAAGACCATGTTCTGGTAAATCTGAATTATAACGACTATTCATCCTTTGAGTTGACACTTCAGCCATTTTTGAATCTTTAATAACCACAAAAGCAGCCTTCTTCCAGTTGCCTGGGAGTTGGGGGCGGGGCGGTGGTCAAATAAGGAAGCTCTCCCACCCCCTGTGGACCAAGTAAGTGTTTGTTTCCAATCTAACTAGACTGAGAGGACCACTCAACGCTACTATTAACTTTTAATGAGTTAAACTGGCTTTAGGATAGTTTCAAAATCTGAATATTTTTTGCAAGGAAACAATATAGTTATAGTTTATCGAAAAATTCGTTTCTTACAATTCGTTTCTTTCAAGATTTTTTTGCAGAAAATCATCCGCGATTTTCTGCCCTTGTTTTTTTCCAGTAAAGTAAGCTCCCTGCATGTAGCCGTACCAATCCTCGCTCGTTGCTTCTCCCGCGAAGTAAAGTCGACCCAGGTTCTCCGCGAGGTTTGAGAAATCCTGGGGAGTCATACCTACAACTGGCTCGCTGTAGGCTCCCCTGGTAAAAGGATCTTTGGACCAACGGCGATAGAATATTGCTATGAATAGAAGAAAAAGAAAACATTTCAAACGGATGGGAGTGTTGAGATCGAGAAACTGACAGAGGTGGGGCTGGGTAAGTGAGTGAAGAGAAGTTATATGCAAAGTCGATTCTCGTCCCAGGAGATTTCGCAGGAATTTTGTATAATCTGTGCGCATTTTCTCGAGATCGTGCATGCTTGTAGCGGTTGTAATTTTTCCAACCCGCCCAACTCCCCAATTTTAACTGCTGTAAATGCGACGTATTTTCGAAATAAATCACTAGACCAGGACATTTTCTTGTTTCTTTCACAATCATAAATGCGTCTGTTGGCCCTTTAAAGGTTCTTTTACAGACTGAAATGACAGATTCCCCAACCCTTTCATACATCTCTACCAGTCAAACCCCTACCCTTTTATATACCTAAAGCCCGAGAAAGGTAAACCCACAGGGGGTCCACACAATCTGTGCGTGTAACCGATGTTATTTTATAGTAAATGTACTGGATTTACCGTTTGCCTCACCTATAGCGATATAGCGCTAGATATGTATATAAATGTTAAACGTTGAATTACCTTAGCTGTGGTATATAGTAGTCCTTTTGCCTCAAAAGCGGTTTTTTGAGCGATTTTGAAGGAGTTTGAGTTATTAGGAACAGTAAACGGCGAACTCAGACTCCTTCAAAATCGCTCAAAAAACGACTTTTGAGGCAAAAGGACGACTATACATATATACATACCTAGCTATATATTGCCATAGGTGAAGGAAACGGTAAATCCAGTACATTTACTATAAAATAACATCGGTTACACACACAGATTTTGTGGGACCCTGTGGTACCCCCTTCGAGATCAGGAGCCTCCCCGTATAGGCAATTATATTGGGAGTACCCCTCGGGGATTGCCACAACTACTTGTTTTACAGTGATTGTCATGACTACAGTGATTGCCATGACAACCAGTACATACCTGTAGGATCCGGAATGTTAACACCATAAATTTTCCTCAGAGTTTTCATTATCTCTTTCTTTGTTTCTTTGTACGTTTGTCCTTCAATGCGTCTTCCTTCGTCTCCTGTCACAGTCACCAGTAATACGTTGGTCCCATTTGGTAAAAGGCCTTCTTTGTCCATGTTTTGCATCACTGGAAAATACCCGCGTCGCTTAGAGGCGTACAAAATGTATTCATTGTCGTCCCAGAATTTAGATGGGAACTTAAGAAAAATCTTCGTATAGACGGACATGGGGTTTTTATAGATAGCTTCTTGTTTCCACGGGGGGAGAGGAGGGTTGAAGGTTACACTGCCACTTGCCAAAACACCGGTGCTAAAGGTACACAAAGCATAGTCAGCGACAAACGTTTCCTTATTTTCAGTTTGAATTACGACTGAATGGTCAGAATATTTTATTCTCTCAACAGTTCTCTGAAAGAGAACGCGTTCGTTCACAGGTTTGTAGAGGTTTTCATACAATGACCATAAACCTCGCTGGTCCGTAACAAAAAAATCTTGCCCTCTTGTAAACAGTTGGTAATAAGACACTAGTTCCAGTGGCTTGGCATGTTCAAAATCAAAAGCAAAATATTCGAGAGCTTTTTCAATGGGCTTGTCGCTCCTCCATCCCATGAGCCGCAAACCGACTCGCGCTGGAATGTCCGGCATGTTTTTCCTCTTCCTGGCCCACAGAACGTCTTCGAGGTTCTCCTCGATTTCTTCCTGAAATTTACGAGCGAGTTTCCAGTCTGTGACGTCGAAGCCATTTTCATCTCTGCATTAACAAAGAATAATAATAGGCAGCAATTTTTTAAACAGCTCTTTGACCGGATCCAAAACTTGTCCTGAAACAAAATCTAAACATCGATTTGTTTTGACATGTAGAGAAAAAATTAGGGCAGTTCCAATTTGCTCCAAAATACAGTTTGTATTTAGATCAAGATTTGTTATTGTTTGGATTGTTAGCATATGTTATTACAATAGACTATAAACATTACAATACATTAAAATCAAAAATTGAACGAAATGTTAACTAAGGCCCCGGCGATCCACACTAATGCGTTTTCGTTTGAAAATGCAGACATTTCAATGCGTTTAGGCCTTGCGTCCACACTAATACGCCGAGCGTTTAAATCAGAAACGCATCGATTTGAAAACGCTCTTGAGGTGGATCAAAACGAAAACGAATACAAATATTAGTGTGGTCGGTCGAAAATAGTGGAAAACGCATCAACATGAAAACGGCAACCGAAAATATCACACGTGCGGGAGTTTGGAGCATGCGCACAGAGTTCAACTTACGTCACAACGTGCAATTTTATTGTTTTCGAACGTTTTAGTGTGGACAGTCGAAACCGCATCAAAACGCTAGTGCGGACGCGACTTGATCGAGGTTTTTTGACGAAAAAACGCATGCTTTTGAAAACCCATTAGTGTGGACAGAGCCTAAGTCATGTGTCATGTATTGCTGTGTAGGGCGTCATTTTGAGAGATCAGCTTTGCGCCTGCGGGTAGGGTTAATGACCTCGTCCAACTCAAGCTAAATTTGGCCCGAAACAAGTTTCACCGCTCAAAAACAGCGACTCCGACCGACCTCATGTGTTTTCGTTTCTTCGCTGAATTAGAGCCCCATGCTTCCAAAACTCTGTCCTGGAAAAAGCTACAGAAAGCAAATTGCATTGTGTCTCGCCGAGAACGTTCCTGCTCCGAATCTGGTGATTGACAGTTCTGAAACGAATCGCATACTCCAAATTCCTCTAGTCGAGAACTTTGCACCGATCATGTCGAGAAAGCTGCCGTTTAGATAGTCCCGAAGGGGGGGTACTCCCTATAATGGGCTATACGGTGAGGCTCCGCCCGAAAGGGATACCTTTTTCAGGAATAAGTTATATGAAAGGGTACAGGGATTTTACTAGCTGAAGCATATGAAAGGGTAGCTAAATCCTCCTTTTTGGTCAGTAAAAAGGGCCAAAAGGGCTAACAGATGCATTTTATAGCTGTGAGAATGCCGAGGAAACGTTCTGGTTTCGGGTGATTTATTCATAGTCTAAAGATCGTGCATTTACAGCAGTTAATAGAGATGTGAAGTTCTAAACTAAATATGTGAAAGGGGAACCATTTGTCAATAGAAAGTATTCGAAAGGGGTATCTTTTTAAAAAAAATGGTCTATAAAAGGGGATGGATCTCGGGGCGAAGCCTCCCCGTATAGAACTTTGTTGGGTATCCCCCCCCCCCCAACCTCCCAGGTCCAGACGTTCAGTAATCTTTGGAAACTGATGGAATTCTAATTCAGCGATGCTGAGGCATCAATAATAACTGCTACAAGAACAAAACACACTGAACTAACCTGATGATGAAATCAGAGTAATTACACCAAATTCCTTCCATGCTTTTATGGGTTTTCCACTTCAAAAAACGTGCTGAAAGCTCCTCATCCAAAGAGTGAAGCCAATTTGCTCCCTCTTCGATGGTAACCCCTTCAAACTGGGCTGCATGAATTCTCCCTCCAATGTAATCTTGGCCCTCGAGAATATAAAAATCCTTGATGTTGTTATCCAGAAGGGTTTTAGCGGCAGTGATCCCCGACAGGCCCCCTCCAAGTATGAGGACCTTTGTCTTGGTGACATTTCTATCTTTTCCTACTCGGAATGCTGTGGTTGATGATATTAATGCTGATTCCAGAAGTAACAAGTATACTGCAAGGAGGCCTAACTTAACTTTAAACATGTTTAGCTGCGATTTTTCTTGAAGGAGAAGACAATCAGGAATGATACAAGGTTTGCTCTAGTTTGCGACCTCGCAAGCTGATACAATAAATATTTTTTTTGCTAGGGCAGGTCATGTGATATTCTCAAGATAATTTTCCCTTTGTCTTCTATAAAATTGATATGCGTACATATGGCACGTGAAGAGAAATTTAAGAGAAACTAATGTCCAGGGTGGACTCGGGCGTGGAGGTTGGGGGGGTGGCTTTACTCCTCTATAAAAGTGACGGGAGAACACCCCAAAAAGGCACCAGAATCTTGTTTTATGGGCGTGTCCCAAATTCATTTCCACCCGTAAGAGCTACCAATTCAACAACAACAAATTATATAACTGGCACTGCAAATTCTAATGGTAATGAAGATAACTTTCGACTTTTTGAAAGTATTGTCATAAATCTTACCGAGACAACTCTGGCAGCAGTCATTTCAGGTTCACCCTAAGCGATACCAATCCACAAATTTAAACCCCTAAAAGGTACGACGAGCACCTTAGTCACTTTTATAGGGGAGTAACCCCCCCCCGGGGGGGGCGGAGCGGACCCACAATTGGGAAAACAAAATATATAATACAGTAGAATCTTGATTTTTGGAACCTCCGAGGGAAATGGAAATTATTTTGAAAATCTAAGGTGGCATCGAATCACACTTGTTTTGCCGTGGTATTGTCTTATATCTAATAACCAAACAAGGCCCTAGACAATAACGGTATCGATCTCTTGCATTCTTGCAGGTTAATGTAATTGTATCATCCATTAAATTTTCTCCAGTTTTCAATTTTCCGACTCATGTTACTGAACTGGAAATACCCATAAAACTATTACTGACCAATGTATGGTAATTGAGCTTTAATTTTTATCGTGTTTAAATAAAGGATTTGATGATGATAAGACAATTAAATTCGTCAAATTCTCTCTTTAATTAAAATAGGTTGTAACTTTGTCCCGTTATAACTGATTTTAAATTTTTTTCACCGGAAAGCTTCATTTTGATTACAGAACAATGCAAGTTTATGTAGTTTAAGGTTGATTTTCTCAATCTGTTAGTTTGGCGGCATATTTGGAAGCCGTTTATGACTTCACAATGTCAATCTGAAAACTAAGAAACAACCAACAATACATGTGGAATTTTCCCTGCCTAGTTCCATTCAGATTTATCATAACGCACGCCTCAGTCTATGAAACATAGGCACGTTTAACGTGCATGAGCTATTTTGAATGCTTTAGTGTAACCTGACCAAGAGTGATGACTCTACCTTTTTCATCCTAAATGTCAACTGCGTTTTTGTGCGAAATTGGGCATTGAGGTACATAAATGAAAACACGAAACGCTCAGCGGAGTCGATCCCTATGCTATACGACAACTTCCTGTGAAACTTAGCTAAACTGATTCTTCTAAGATTGATCACTGGCTTTCTTTTAATAGTCTGTTTGTTAATGTAACAAAAACCGAAGCTATGCTTTTCGGAACCGATTAGATTATCTGCTGTTAACTCTTTTTCTATTACTTTAAATAACAATGTAATTAAGCGGGTTTTTCACTTCACTTATCTAGGTATAGTTTTTGATGATCGCCTTAGCTGGAACGAGCAAATAAAGTACCTAATTTCGAAGGCGGGAAAACGCGTAGGAATGCTCGGCAGGCTTCGCAGAAGCCTCACTAGAGAGAGTGCAAATGTAGTGTATTGTAGTCTAATTAGGCCAATTTTAGAATACTGTGTAAGTGTGTGGGGCTGTTGCGGGGAAGGTCATAAACAAGACCTTGAAGCCCTCCAAAACCGGGCTGCTAGGATAGTGGCTTGTACTGTGCGCAGCAAGCAGGCATTGGACGTTCTGAAATGGCCCACCTTGGAGGAGCGCCGACGTCAATCTGTTTTTAAACTCGTTAAGAAATGCCTGCAAGGTCAATGTCCCCAGTATTTTAAACAATATTTTAAACGTAATAATACAATCCATGCGCACGCTACTAGACAAAGCAACCTCTTACATCCGCCTGCTGTGAGAACTGAAATTGCAAAAAGATCCTTCTATTATTATGGTTGCACTCTTTTTAACGAATTATCTTATTGATATTCCGTGTTTTACATCTTTTAATCTTTTAATTGAAAATAGTTTTCTATTTATATTATTACCTGTATTAGTGTAATGTTTATATGTTCAGTGTGGTTTTTGTGCGTTGTTGCTCAGGGCTCCCATTGATAACAGACAGCTTTTTGCGTCTGAAGGGGCTACCCTGAGCGGTATAAATTAATAAAGGTTCTTCTTCTTCTTCTTCGCTCACCGATACGCACCTGTTCGGAATTGGCCAGCGGTAACACCCTACCACAGTAGCTATTTTTAGAAACAGAGTCAACATGCATGGCTGCGATCAGAGGTTTTGTAGCGGAAAAGGCCCACTTCGAAAATAACCACGGCAATTATAGTAGTTTTCCCTGATTCAGGTGACATAAAGCTAGAAGAAAGGCTTCAACAAGAGGCTGTTTGAACTCTTTTTGTTTTCGTGTATCCATGTCTTCGTTGTCAAGTTCGACAAGTAGGCCAAATTATGCGTCAACTTTCCCAGCACCAGCATCAACCGAAATTACGCCAGTACCAGCAGATGAACGGATTTTTTTTCAAACTGCCGCTGCACGTGGTATTTCTGGGGTCTTTGTTTGGTTATCGTTGATCATAACAGGTCATCAGGTGAGAAATCTTACAAGTTTTGGTTTCACAAGGTAGTGTTTTTGTTTACCCCAAATCAAGTGTAAAGTTATGTACTATTGGCTTCTCTTGTAGCTAAACTTTTGAGTTATCAAGTCCCTTGAGCTTTAAAGCTTAAGTTTGTATTATATACTATGAAACGCGTATTTTACTGTTTCACGTTATTTCATGTCACAGTTTTGTGCCAGGACAAACGAGAGCCTAAAACTTGTGACATATACCGTTCATGTTATTTTAACTCAGCTCAAGCTTATATTCATTTGATATAAGACTTAGTGTTAAATATTAGATTGTGTCTTCTCTCGATTGAAGCACATTTCCCTTAGTAAAAAAGAAGAAATTATTTCATTTGTCATTCACGAAATAAAAAATCAATTCTGGTAGTGGAATGAGATGGAGGTGCATATTTTAATATAATATATTTAATATACACTTAATGTCAAATCCTGAGGGAAACAGTTAGTTTTGTTTTCACTCGAGTCCTGATGTTTCCCGAGATGAAGTCGAGGGAAACATCAGGACTGGTTTCCCGAGGGATCTGACATTAAGTGTTTTGTTATATTTCTAGACTTTCACTTCAACAGCAACAAAAGAATAACCGGAGCGAACCAAAACAATTGACTCAGTATTTATAACAACACAAATTTAATTCTCAAAACAGCTGAATGAATGATGTACAAAGTACTTTCCTTATATTATCTGCATCTTTTTCCTCCACTAGCTTCGGTTTTTCTTCTGGGAACTTCTGGGATAACTTTGAAAATTGTTGCTTTTTAGCTTGAGGCTTCGTGTTTGTGTTGTTGTGTTCATTCACGAAAAAGAAAGCTGGCAGTGTTTTTCCCGCCTTCTGTCACGCCACTTTCCACCATGCTTTGATCACGTGCTTTAATGTAGCCCGAGCGGGGTACATTACTTAATGTATCACAATCGGGATACGTTTGATTTAAGTCAAGGCCACGTGACCAAGAATCAACCAATGGTAGTCCCTGTTTAGTTGAGTGAAAGGCTAAGAATATAACAATATAGTTTAATAACTTTGACTTTGCATATTAATTGAATTGTGTTGACTCATCTTTGATGTGTATGTGAAATATTGTTTTTATATTTCAAACAATTTGAAAAATTATGTTTTGAATGTGACATGAACTTGCTAAGAAGCAGCACTGGCTGCTTCCTTTTGGTGCATCTAAAAATAATACTTATGTCCAATACTGACTCAAAAACCAGCTTATGTGAATTTTAGGGTGCATTCCTTTGGGATGTTCTGGATCAGGATCAGTTATCTGAGATCTGCACTCAGATCATGGTACCTCAAATGAACCAATGAATCCTTTCCCAGATTGGATTCCAGTAGTGGAAATTACTGTCGGACATCGAACATTGTCTGACCAAAATGCTGTGAATGTCTGACTAATTTTGCAATGAGAGATGAGAGATGAAAGAAAATATCTTCACAATAGAGCAAACAATGACTGCCTATGTTTGAAGCCGGCTGTGAACCATAAACAACAACAGATTCTTTCAGTTGAATACTAGTGGGGTGCTTTTAAGAAAAATTCACATTGTAAAACATGGGCAGCATTTTTGCTGGTTTTGGGAATATTTTCAATGAAATAAATATCACCACTTTGGTTCACTTCTTTTTTCTGAACTGAATTGCCATAACTGTCAAAACTACCGGTGTCCTGGGCACTTTTTCTCCAGAAAAAGCAGTGGTGAATTTGTTTATGAGCATGTACAATAATGTAACAAATGCAAATAAGAGAGTTGTAGAAAATCAGTGGAAAGCATTCCCCAAAACATCAATTAAATTTGAAAAACGTTTTAAACCAATATTTTATTTCCCTGAAATACACCAGCTTCCAGCATCTGAATAAAAATCACATTCAAGCAAAATTAATAAACTTGCCAAACGGAGGGAAGTGGTCATTCGCGTTCTACTGGTCTATTTAGAGTATTTTGTTTCTTTTTCAAAGCTTGAGATTTTTGCAAATTGCATTTAGAATCATGAGAATTTCAAATGAAGATTATTTCTTTAAAAAAAAAACCAGTCGCCAATGTGAATAACAGGTTCTTGAAAGAGGTCCCCAGAATCATTGCTTGGGTTTACTTGTCCTGGACTATCAAGAAATTTGAGGCAAACCAGGTTGAAAGCATGACCATATTTACTCAAATTAGCACCGCCCTTGAGTAAGCGCCACCAAGAGCCCTGTTGTAATGAAAATCAAAAGAGGTTAATTCTGTTAGTTAAATAGGGCAAATAACAGTATCATAGTCAAAACAATTCTTTGCATGTCCAACTTTCAAATAAACGCCATGAGTGCCGCGGCACTTATTCAAGTAAATACAGTATGCTAATTAATGTCCGACCAATTTTAGAATATGTCCTTCCAAAATTAAGGTTTGAAAGGACACACGTCCTTTCAAGTAGAAAAAATTATTTCCAGCGCTGGATTCATTGGTTCTAAATTTGGATGTGCTACGATCACGTTGATCAAATCTCTTTTTCCTGATCCTGATCCAAATCATCTTGATGGAACGCAGGTTTAGGGCGCTCTCCATTTGTCAGAACTGGCCGGCCGTACCATTACCAGACCAGTCATTTTGACAATGAAATCGGCTTTTTCAAAGCGATTTGATGAAAAACCATTTCCTTCCTGCACACTATTTAGGATTTGACTGGTCTGGCTGGTAGTTTTGTTTAAAAGTGAAATTCTCATTTATGACGGGAAGGGTCTGGCTGGTCAGTTTGGATGAATGGAAAGCTCCCTTAGACTTCTTTTAAACCAGTGCTTCAATCTCTTTTACTGGCAGATCTACCAGCATTTAAAGTATTACACAAATCCTAGTGAACAGAGATGGATTGTTCGAATTCTTTTCATTGTTCCTATCTACGCATTTGATTCCTGGTTGAGTCTGCTTTTCTTTGAACAATCCTACTATGTCTACTTTGACAGCATTAGGGACTGTTATGAAGGTATGTTTAGATTGAGAGCTGTAAAAATAATTATTGTATTTTGCAAGGCACCAGCATGCAAAGAACGTCATGTCCAATATCCCAGGTCTAGTGAATTTCGCGATCGGGCTAGAGTAAGTTCTGTTCTTAACTTGTCAGATGGGCAAGCAAGTAAAGGTGTTTTGGGGATTTAAAATTGTAGAAGAGAAGTGCTGACCGCGGTTGTTCAAAAGGTGGATAACGCTTTCCAATGTATTTAACAATTATTCCTCGAGCCCAAATGGGCTCTGAGTCAATAGCCCACGAGGCTAAAGGCAGAAGGCCTTCAAAGCCTACTAGTTGGTCAAAAATATCAAGAATAAAAAAATTTTAGCTAGTTAAAAGGTAAACTTTAATCCTTTTTTGCCGCCAAAAAGCCTGCGCTTTTCGCTACTAGGGGACTATAACATATAGCCTCGTAATAGCTCAACCAATCAGAACGCAGCATTGATAATAGACCACTAGTTGTATTTTTAATTACTAAAAATCAATATCCTCTGGATAGTGCAATTTATTGGTTCTCTTAATACTTATCCCCTGGATGGTGATTTATCAGGATGATATAAACACTATCCAGTGTTTAAGCAACCAGGGCCTGTAAGACTAATTGGTTAAATTACTAATTCATATGGATTGAAAGCCGTTATTCAAGTTGATCTGACAAAGTGAGTTTTCTACATTATTTTTATTACAATGAATTAATAAAGCAAGTACTAATGGTGCAATTAATTATCATGCACATCAAAAGTTTTTTTTGGCTAGTTTTAACATACAGTTTTTAAAACATACAGCTTTTACTTGTGAACTTCAAGAACAGGGCACATTTCTCTTTTGTTTCAGCATTTGTCATTTACAACTTTTTGAGTCTGTGTTATGAATATTTGGGTGGTGAAATGGCAATCTTATCAGAAATACGAGGAAGACCAATCAAGTAAGTCTTAACAGTGGTATTAAATTCAACACTATTATATATTTCACACTGTATATATAAAATATATTAATGGCAAAGCTCTGTCAGTAAAATTCTGTTATTATCAAGAGAGTTTTCAATGAAAAAATCATATTAGTTGCATTTTTTAGTGAAAAGTTCCTCATCAAACTTAAACGCAAGAAAGTGGGGAACCAGATAGATACAATATTTTTCTTTACATGCACACACACTCACCTATACTAATAAAAAACTAGCCACTCATGGAATATTTCATTGTCTACCATAGCAATAGTATACTGGTAATTGAATGGCAGTTAAATGTTGTTAGTACATTTGTGTTAAGTTAAGTAGAAATGTTGTTTTCAATATTATTATTAATGTAGCTTATATATCCACATCATTGTTAATATTTCAGAGCTAGTTGGTTGTGGTGTACATGCTGTCTTACTGGCTGCCAGTACACAATAGTTTTCCTCAGATTTTGTAAACAGGTGAGAACTTTAGGTTATGTTATCCAAGATTCTAGACCGTTCACAGTCCTCGGGATCAAGCACCTACTGTTAACCCTTACAGTGCCATCTTGGTTTCAAATGTACTGTGTCTAGAAATCTATTTAGGTACCAAAGGATGGTTTGGGAAAAGGCAGGAGAAATAGAGATTCCCTCTTTTTTTCTCACCTCCCTCCCCCCCACATTAAATCCCCATGCCCACCCCCTCGGTACATTCAAAACCAAGATGGCCACCTGTAACAATAAGTGCTCGATCTCGACGAACTTATGGAAAAAAACTTGTGAACAGTCCACCAAGCTGCAGAAACCATGAGCTGTTGATAATTTAATTTAATTTATTCATTTATTAGGGGACCATAGTACACAGTTACTTCTACCTGTCCTACAGTAGCTGTTATTTATCAGTCCAAGTATACAACTGTCAACTATTTTTGAGTCCCAGGGTAATCTTCCATACAAGGACAAGTTCAACTCACCCCTGAGTAAGGCACTGTTGTCTAGTTTTCCTTCACTCTATGTCAGGCAATCCAGATTCAGGAAATAAATCTGGGAAATCTTTGCTTGTGGAATACAGAATCCAGGAATCTTTTGCTTGTGGAATCTGGAATCCTGGGCTTTGAATTTGAATCTGTAATCCGACTCCAGGAATCTGAAATCCCACTAAGGATTGGAATTCAGAATCCAAGTTCCACTGGCAATGAATCGGGAATCCGTGGCCTAGAGTCAAGTTTCCAAGTCTGTTTTTATTACCTTATGTGGGGTGATTTCCTATTTGCTGATTTCTCAATTCATTCCATAATATTTTGCCACTCTGTGCTATGCCAGCCCTGATCCTTTGTAATAATTATATTATAATATTAATAAATATTATATTATATTATATCATATCATATCATATCATATCATATCATATCATATCATATCATATCATATCATATCATATCATATATCATATCATATCATATCATCATATCATATATCGTATCATATCATATCATATCATATCATATTATATTATACCGTATAATTATTGATGGTGACTTCAATGTCAGTTACAGTGGAACCTGAATATAATGAACCTCTATATTATGAAGTCCTCTGTGTAAAGAACAATTTTCTTTACCCCAGATAGACTTTATTATGGTAAAATATTGGTAAAAGAACCGCGATATAACGAATTCTCGTCATAGAGAACAGTAAACAAATTTTTCCAGTCCCTTGGCCCTTTGTTATGTTGATGTTCGACTGTATTTCCTTCTTTAACATCTTGTCTGAACTTAATGGTGATCAAATATTGATTATTGAGTTTATGATTGATTTGCAGGCAACTCTTCAGTACTGTGTAATCAAACCAATTATGGCGGTCATTACTCTCATCCTTCAGCCATTAGGCTATTACTCAGATGGAGACTGGAGGTATTCACACGTCTTTTTTGTTACCGTAAATCTTCTATTAAGCCCTGTGGGGGGCTTATTTATTTCAAGCCCATTTGAGGGGGAGCTTAATAGAGATAGGGGGCTTATTTGAGTGGGGAGTTGGGGGAGGGGGGCTTATTTAATTTAGACACGACGATGGTATCAGTTCTCCGTAAAGAACTAGAGTACAAAGTGGAAAAGCTCAAGTACAAGAATGTGGAGGTCATGCAGCCACGGATCAGAATCAAATCCGAACTTCCAGTTAGTAAATAAACCATCCCGGATCAGTCCACATGAAGTTTTACATTTGTGATTGATCAATACAGTCTATCATTTATTACTGAAGAATAATTAGGGGAGGGGAGGGGTGGCTTATTAACTTTGTTTCCCAGAGAAGGGGACGAAGGCTAATTGAGAGTGGGGCTTAATAGAGGATTTACAGTAAATCCTGATACAGCCTCCACTAATTATGTAAAAATGCAATATATTCATCCTACATGTAATTTTCCCATGTATATATTTGTTGCAGATCAACATGAGGCCCCATCCACACATATCCGTTGTTGCTTAAAAACTGAGATTTGTTTCTCGTTTTGGCCCACTGTCCACATGTATCAAGTAAAAATGGCCATCGAAAATGCATCTTTTCAGAAACGCTCTCAGAGTAGAGGTTTTGAACTTGCCATTTTGCTGCACTCATGTGGATGTACAAAAATGGAGGTTTCTGGAAACGAGTTACGTCACGGTGTTGAATACCAGTAAATGTGCATGCTTCCATAAAAGATGGGTCCTTTTTTCAGCCAGGTCGTTTTCAGCCGTGTGGACGGGCAAAAACGGACGCTGTTTTTTTGGCAACAGAGAAAAAAATTGTCATTAAAAAAAAAAAAACGATATGTGTGGACGGGAGATGAAACTCGGGACAAAATGGTTTTAACCTAGTTTGAATGTCAGTTTTCTTTGTTTCCTAACTAAACCCTATAAAAATCAGACTAGGTTGAAACCATTTTTACCTAAAATTTCATTTTGAGCTACAAAATTTATAATTGACAAA